AGAAAATGCCTTACCGAGATCTCATATTGCATGATCCCAAACTTTTCCCCTCTATATGCTTTTTTTAAAGAGCTCTCACCATTTCTAGTTAGGCTTAATCTGCTGGCCTATGCGACTATACGACGATTTAGCAATAGAAGTGTAAGTGAATCGTCAATACTACCCGAGACAAAACAAGTTTACTTCTACCGAATAGAAACCTAATATCATTGCTCCCAAAAATGATGGCAACAATCTATTTTATCATTTAAATATCGCCACTATTGATTTCATTTCATCAGTTAAATAAGTATACTGAACATAGAGAATCAAAAATTATTGGTAGTGATAAGTTATCAATATTATTATGATTTTCATAATGATTTTTATTATTTTTTTCATATCTTTTCTAAAATTGATCAATGATCTTTTAGCAATAGCGCTGAATTTTCGTAAATTTTTCATAAATTTTCTAATTTCTAAAATAAAATTCATCATATTTTATGCTAATAGGATAGAGGAGGACAAGCAAAACAAATCGTATAAGTTCGAGGATCCTACTTCTTGACATGAGGTATTAGGGTAGAAAATAGCTAAAGAAGACCGATCGCCTATTCCTTAAAGCAACTTTTTTAAATATTTTTATATTATATATAAAATTATAAAAAAAAAATTTTTTCCTCACCACCTTGGAATGGTCATAATTATCTTCATTCTACCTTCCCCAATCTCGAGTTCCCTACCAAAGTCCTGAGAGATTGAGGGGCTCTGCGCAGTATCGCAGTATACTATTTATAACAATAGGACGCTCTTCTCGATGGAGATTTATTTATCTCTGATGGAATCTGCTGAAGCTATTTTTCTAGTTTGGGAGTCACAGTTCCAATTGCTCCAATTGTTATTACTAAGCATTACTTTGGCTTTTATTTAACACATCTTCTGTAGTTCCTCTTTCAATTTTCAGCATTTCTCTAACTTCTCATATTCCTTTTTCTTAATGTTATTGGCGGCTGAGTATGTTAATCAAAATATATTTTATAAAAAAAAAATTTTTTTCCATAAATAAAATATATATATTATATAGAATATATATATATTATATTAATTGATCCTTTCGCTGCAACGTTTTTTTTTACGCTCATTAAGTAATTATTAGTATTTGTTGTATTGCGTGGCCAATTTTTTAATTTTTCATTTTTTAAATTTTTCTAAATTGCTAAATTAAAATGTTTTTTTAATTTAATGAAAATTCTAGTCTTTCTCATATTTTTCGTATGCGATATAAATAAATAAAAATCATAAAAATCAATTTTTCATAAAAATCAATTTTCCATACAAAAGCAATTTTTTTTTCAATTTGCCCTATACTCTTAATGAATATTGCAGCTCTTGGTATATTGAATATATTCAATATATAACACAAGAAATAAGTCAAAAATTATTTAATAATAAAAATAGATAATTAATATAATAATAATTAATAAAAATAACAATTCATTGATGATTGATAACAGTGACTGGTAAATAAGTGATATTGATAAGTGATAAGGATAACAAATTGTGCATTAATAATATTGATTCGATTCATAGATTTTCCAATTTAAAAAAAAAAAAAAAAGTAAATAAATAAATAATGCTTTAGAAAACGATTAACAATAGTTTAGTTTAAGGGTTTAATATCAAATTTATCAAATTGTACGATTATTAATTTTACTGATTTTTTTAAAGAGAATTTTCATTTTTCCTCTCTTTTTTTTAGTTTTTATCATTGATTAGCGACTAATAAATTGTCGTTTGTGGAAAAAAAAAGGAAAAAATCGCATAAGCGATTTATTTATGCGTTTTATCACACGTTCAACACGAATTCATTCATTCGTTCAATTTTATTTATTTTATTAAAATATTTTCGTATCATTTACTAATCAATTTTTATTGATAATTTTTTAAATGATATTGAATGATTAGAAAAATGAAATGGAAATGTTTTAATTTTTATTGATGAAAAATGAGTTTAGTTGCTCGCAATTTAAAGAAATAAGAAAAAAAAACGCGAAACAAAAGTAAACCAGTCTTTTGCAAAAAAAATCTTGGTGATGCTAGCGATTCATTCGTAGTTCTATCGTTTCGAAAATAAACTCCTCTGGGTATAAATTTGTCTGATTTCGACAAGCTAGTGGAAACGAGTGTAACCAAAAATGGTGAAAACTCTTTTAAAAAAAAAAAAACAAAAAAAATATTCGCTTTTTTTTGTATTTTTTTATAAATATTTATTTATTGGAAAAATAAAATGAACTGATAAAATAAATTAAATAAATGAATCTGATAACATAAAATTCGAAAAAATTATATGAGGAAATTAATTTTGACGTTTCAAATTGAAAAATTTTGTAGATATAAAATTGTTGAAATTCATCGAAATAATTTTAGCTATTATCATTATCATAGCTATTATCATAGGTCAGTTTCAATTGGTTAAAAGAGATAATAAAAATTTCTTGTGGTGGAGATTTTTATCATTTAAATTTTTTAATAAATGGTAAGATTAATCACTCAGTGTTCTCGATTATAAGGAAAAATTTTGGAGAAATTTTTACCAATTGTTTTGAAAGAAGAATTAAAAAGCGTTGGAGAAGTTTTTCCAGTTTCATTGCCATAAATATAACTATTCATTCATATAAAATATAATCATAAAATATCTTATATTCTTATTGTCATTTTTTTTTAGTTATCATTTCATTTATTCTTATCAGTAATTAACTTATTGATAATTTTTTTCAAGTTACTTATTATTTTCATTTACAAATAAAGTTAATTCTTTTCACTATTTTTTTTTTTAAATTTTTCAAGCAAAATTAAATGAATTAAATCATCATTGAAAATTTAATAGAATTTACAAAATTTTTAAAAAAAATTAGCATGAAATAGAAAAAAAAACTTATAGAGAAGAGATTATGTTAATGTTGACGAAAAATTTTCGTGCTTGGCAGCATAGGGCACTAATACGACTTATTAAATCGCAAGTTTTTTTTAGGAGAAGTTTGCTTATGAATGATTAGTTCTGCATAGGGAAACTTTTGAAACTTGTAGGTTTTGTCGAAGTTTCGATAAAATTTAAATCATTTTAAAAAATCCTCGCTTGAATTACTTCATATTTTTCAAGCAAGCAAATAGCTTTCAATTGACATTTTGATATTTGAAGCTTTAAAATGGAAAGAATAATAGTTATTTTCAAATTCTTTTAATAGTTTTATAATCAAGTATTTATTCTTGAGTTAGCCAAAATCATTCTTCATATTATCATGAATTGGTGCTTGGCGAATGATAAAATCAAGCAAACTTGATAAGATTGATAATTATGTAGATTGATAATTATCCACAGAAAGGCGAGTTCGATCATGCATTAAGCTTTTTATAATTTATATATATATATATATATATTCTTCAGAAAATTCAAAAAATAAAAGATTAAAGACAATTAAATAAGCTTTATATTTCTTGTTTTTGATAATATTTGATAATATTTTTAATATAATGCCTCATTATGTTATGGAGAAAAATTTAGATTATCCAAGTCTAATCATCTAAGCCGTTTTCTTTTCTTATTTGAATGAGCCTTTGGCTAATTCGATATCGAAATGCCTCATCATTCTCAATGGCTATCTTTCTTTTTTAGTGTGGAAAATCAACCATTTAAGCCAATTATGAAGTGATGAAGAAAGTTGCTATTGCTGTAAAGGGAGAAAGAAAAAGATTCGCTAATTTCTCTATGGCCTCCTATTTTTCGCAATTTTTTTTATCAATTATCATTTTTCTAAATCATTTCTTCAAGTAGTGAATGAATGCTTTGATTTTAACGATGTGATATGATAAGACAAATGTATAAATAAATATACAAAATCAATGGAATACAAATATTTGCAAATTAAAATAAAAATTTTTTCTAATAAAATTATAATTTTTTGCGCGAAAAAATTTTTCTTTCATATAGTTTTTTTTATTTTTTATTTTTTTACTTTTGAAAAAACCACTTTGAATATTTTCTTTGCAAAATTTTCATTTGTTATGCAAAGCAAAAAAATGAAGAAATTTATGTCATTTTAATATCGTTTAGCTCGGATTAGCTTTTTGTTTGTTCGTTAACATTTAATATCGCTTATTAATAGCGAATTTTATCATTTTATCATCGCACTTTAGAAAATTTCATCTCATAAACTGCCTATCCATGTCGTGATTTCTTATCAAGTGATAAATTCTTTGATTGAAATTCGTATTTTTATTTAAGGCAAAATAATACGAAATATCAATTTCAATTACAATTTTTTGAACGTATTACGCCTTTTAAACAAACAATTGTTAACGATTTATTCATATAAATTTATGTCGAACCAATGAAATGAACTTTTTTGATTCATAAAAATAAATATAATAAATAGAAAAAGAACAATGAATTTTAAAATAATCATACTTTGTTCGATATGAAAAGTTAATTCATTATTATATTTTTAAAATAAAATTTCTTCGTACAATTTTGTCACATAAAAAAGTGTAAAAACCAGTTTTTTAAATTTTAATTTCTTCGTATTTTATGTATTTTTATTTTTTATATTTTTTATTCTTTTTTTTGCAATTTTGCACTTTTATTTGTTACATTTTGTATTTTTATTCATTCATTTATTCATTTTTATTCATTTTATATTCGAATAATAATTTTATTAATTAATTTGTAAAAATTTGTAAAAATTGTTAATTTCGAAAATATTTCTGAAATAATTTCAAAAGAAAATTTTACAAAAATTAGCTATAAATTTTTAATTTAATTTAATAAATTTAATTTTTAGGTTAAAAGATTTAAATTTAAATATAAAAAAATAATTTTATTTTAGCAAAAAAAAAATTTTTTTTTTTGAATATTTTAACGTTTTTTTTTTCTTTTTTTTCAAAATATTTATTTAATAAATCGAAAAGATTTTTTTTTTTTGGAAAAATTATTAATAGTTAAAACTAATAGTTAAATATTATAGATGGAAGCATATAAAACGCGTTCGAATAGTAGGAATTCAGCTGGTCAAATACATAATTCTGATAGTAATCAGCGGCGACATTCATTAACAGCTCAATTGACTCGGTCAGCGAGACGTTTCTCAGCTGCATTTGTTCCACAGTTCACAAAACTCGATCCTATACCAATTTTGCAGAAATATCTTTGTTTGAAAATTCGCATCATTGATATACGTCAGGTCATATTTTATGTAAATAATCGAAAAAATCGAGAAAAAAATTTATCGAATCGAAAAATTCTGTCGATTTTGTAATTTTTTCGGTTTATTTTCTAAAGCTATAATTTTCATGAAAATCGACTAGTTTCATTTTTTGTTTTTTTTTACCTATAAGTGTAGAAATATTTGGCCTTAAAGCCAGGAAAATAGAAAAGCAAAAAAAAGCCCAAATTTTTTTGCCTCATTGAAATAACGAATGGTCAATGAGCTATAAAAAATCTCAAATTATCAAATATTAATAATTTCCACATTCCACAATTAATTCATTTCAATTAATTTAATTTATTAATTAAAATGTGAAAATTGAACCATTAAATAATTTATTTATAGCCGAAAGACATTAAAAATAATAAAAAAAAAATTATAGTGTAATAATATTAATATTATTAAAAAATATTAATGACAATATTAATATTGCCAATGTTATTAAAAATACTGTTAATTAAATATATAATTTATAAATATAAATATATAATTTGTTGATTTGAATGAATTATTATTTAAATAAATTATAAATATTAATAAAAAAATGTTAATATTATCAAAAATATTAGTAGCAATATTAATATTATTAAAAATATTATTAATTAAATATATAATTTGTTGATTTGAATGAGTTATTTAAATAAATTATTATTTTCAATGTTATTAATTAAATAAACTGAAAAAAATGAAATTTTCTAAAAAAAATACTAATAAATGAAAAATTAAAATATTAAATATTAAAATATTAAATGAAGAATTTATTATATAGAAAAAAAATAAAGTAAGTAAGTTCACTATTCATGATTGGGCTCAACTGATTCTCTAGCTGCTGTGGCTTGTGGATTAGAAATTTTTGGGTAGGGCACATTAATTGGCCAAAATATAGGTCTCTAATATCACCCGAATTTGTTGCCAAAAAGCAGCAAAAAGCTGAAATATTGGCCTTTCTATGCAAAATCGACCGGCTATATACTATATATTTTATTTCGCTTACTTCAAAAAGATAAGTAAAAATTTATCGAAAAGATTGAAAATTAGGAGAAAATTTTAAAATTTTACCAATGATTTGTCGAAATTATTGATTAATTTTTAAATCAAACTACTTATTAAATTTGGTTTATTATAAAATTATATTTTATAAATATAGAAAAATATGAAAAATATGGAAAATAAAATTTTTTTGTTTCAAAATAAATTTCTAAATTTTTAAATTAATAATAATTTTTAAATTAATTTTATCACGCTTTTTATTGTGCCAAAATTTACGATATTTCAATAGGCCTAATGACTAATAAAAATAATATTTAAAAAATAAAATAATAAAAATTTGCAGTTGCAAGTAGCTGTTGAACGATACGTTATCAATAATGCGGTACATTTCAATCCAATTGAATTCGAAGTTGTGGACGAAAATGATTCACATATTTTTGAAATTAGCTTATATCCAGAAGAAATGGTACTTAACGAGGGAACAAAGCGTATCCTGTCTCTAACTTTCGCCGAGACTGATTCTGATGATGATGGAATTGTTATTTCGCGAATTAAGCATCCATTGTCTGGTATATTTATCGATATCTTTTTGAATAGTCCAAATTGCCCTCAAGCAATTCGCTTCTGGATTATTACCGTCATTCTTAGCTTATCAAAGTTCAAAAAGTTTCGCAATTCACCCGTTTTTTAGTTCTTAGAATGATAAATTTCATTGCTTTTTCTAAAATATTTACTAATGATTTTGATAAGAGATAAGAGATATTTGGTTTTTAGCATATTTCTTATAGGAATGCGAGTATTTGAATTTGTCGAACGACCATGTTCGGATTTAATTCATATTTCTTCATACATTGATCAATTTGATCGTTGTTATATTGAGCCAGTTACAAATTCATGGCTACGTCTCCTTATGATTTGTGGATGTTTATTCACTCAAGTACAATGGCATTTTAAGCGAGAAGATAAAATATTTGCGGTAGTGAGGCCAAATAAGACTTTTCTTGGCGAAAATTCTTTCAAGTATTTTTTTTAAAAAATAAATAAATAAATAAAAAATAAATAAATAAAAAAAATAAATAAATAAAAATAAATTTCAAGTATTTAAAAATTTTTTAAAAAAAATTTTAAATTTTTAAAATTTTATCATTTATTTTATTTTTAAATGATTTAATTAAAGTTGAAATATTCATTCGAAATAGCTAGAATTTTTCAATTAATAGTTGTTAAATAAATGATAATTTTTGCACCAAAAATCCAAAATAGCCGATTTGAATATTGATATGCAATTTAAAAATTGTCCATTTATTTTATGCAGTTTATTTATTGAAAATCAGCAAAGCAGAGCGAGAACGCCATGTGCTTGTATTAATAACAACAATTAAAATAACAAATAATAAAAATTAATAATAAGAATAAAAAAACGAGAATATGACAAAAATTAAGAATTTAGGGAGGAAATAAAGAGGAAATTACAAAATAATATAATATAGTACAACTCGAAGTAACTATATTATATGATATGTGATCGGATGGTAAAAATCGAGATTTCACACTTCCTGCATGATGTGAATTTTTTAAATAATATCATAAGTGATATTATCTAATCTTTTTTTAAAGGATGACGTACAAACTATATCGCTTTGTGATTTATTCCAGTAATTATTAGTACGAATAAAGAAATTATGAGTCTTTAGTTTAGTTTCACACATAGGTTGTTTCATATTTTTAACCCATTAATTCTTGTTGGATTCAAATTTTACCAATATTAACTGATTTTTAGTGCAATATTGGCTTTGCATCGATGAAATTACGCTTAAATCTTTATAGATTTTTTTAATTCATCCTTTGTCTCTATTCTATAATAGCTTTGAAACCGCCATATTATTGCTTGGAATAAAATCCATAAAGAAATCTGTGCTATTCTGTAGCGAACTACTCGTTCTTCTATCATTTATCATCAAGCGGCTCTTTGGCAAAAATTTTTAACCATACGAATAGTCCATTTTTTTTTATTTCAATAAATTAATAAAAGTTGATTTTTATTAATGAAAAGAATGTACTGAAGAAAAACTAAAATGAATAACTAAGCTTAGTGATTCTTTTTTTAATTTTGCTATTATTTATTATAGTTATTCTAATTAATTATTAATATTCGTCGAATTATGAAGTGATTGAGTTTTTTTTTTCTTGGATCATAAAATGGATCATTATTTTCACCCACTCAACCCGAAATTCACCAAAAAAAAAAAAAAATCAAAAATTCATTGCTATTTTTAGATTAGAATGGAACGAACAAGCAAATAATGAATTACGAGTGATCGTTATCGCTTTTGCAATGACACAAATGATTCGAGAAGCTTTCCCTTCATTAATTCATATTCTTAAGGAGCATCGACTTCGAAGTTGATTAATTATTAAAATAATATTAATAATAAAATAATATTAAAATAATATTAATAATTATAATTAATTTTTTTATTTATTTATATAATAAATTTAGATAATAAAAATTTTAAAAAATTAGATATTATTGTCGAGTTTTTTTTCTTTTCTCTTATTTATATTTTTCGCCTACTTAAAATAAAGAAAAAATTATTTTATTTATTCTAATAAAATAATTTTTTCTTAATAAAAATTTTATAAATAAAAATTTTAAGTAAACAAATTTTTTGAATTATCTATCAATTTTTTTTTCTTTCTCTTCTAATAGCATTCTGATCGTTTTCTCGGTTTAGCTGGATAAACCGCTAAAAATTAGGAATTTTTATATTTTTTATATCTAAAAATTATTATATCTAAAATTAAATGCCATATATAAAATCTATGTCATCAAATTTTCATATCTATTCATTATGCATAAATTATTTGGAATTTCGTGCCTAATGATCTTTTTTATTTTGCAATTTCGTTTTATTTCTTGTAAAATAAAAGAAAAAAATTTTAATTTATTTATTTTTAAAGATATTTTCAATATAATAGTTGAATAAATTTCATTGATAGCATTGAAGAATAGAGAATTTGAAGAACTACGGAAATTCTCGCCTAATGAGCGATTTATTTATAGTAATCTAGCAATAATGCTTTATTTCCGAGATTTTTTCAGAATTCTAAAATATCTGATAATAATATATTGAATAAAAAATTGATAAAAAATTGATGTTTTAAAATGGTTTATATAAGCCGTTAAAATGGTTTATAATCTTAATGAAATCTATCAATCAATCTGTAAAATAGTAAATCGTTAAAATAAAATAAAATTTAAAAAACATCATATAAAAAGATTCGCAAAAAGATTATCAGCATATATTATCAGATTATTATCAGATAATTTTAAGATTATTATCAACAGATATTATTAGATTATTATCAGATAATTTTGTGATTTAATAAATCCACTATCGTACTTCTGATATTCATACCTCTGATTAAAAGGTTCAAATCATCTCTGTTATATTGTGGAAAGTGAAAATATTTAGAATGACTCAGTGGATTATTGGAATTGATGCTGAAATTCGATTCTTTGCTGAAGTAAACTTGCTTGTCTAAAAAAAATCTGAATGATGCTAGCAACACACTTGTATTTCTATCGCTGATATATTAATTGTCTCAAGTCCGATAAGCCAACTGAGCAAGGCAAATTTGCAATAATGAATGCTTTGTAAAAAATATCAAATTGCATTTTAAGTCAAATCATTAATATTAAATGTGATATTATTAAAATAATATAAAATAATATAATATTAAATAATGAATAAATTCTTTGAATAAATAGAATATTTACAAAATTGAATTAAATAATTAAAATAGCAAATGAATAGCAAATATGCGAATTCAATATTTAAGAATTATAAAATATTTTACATGAAAAAAATAAATAAATAATTAGCTTAATCTACAAAAAAAATCTAACCTAATATAATACAATACAATTTAAAATTTTAGATACAAAAATGGAAAATTCGCAAATGGAAAATTGCATAACTAAAAAAAAAAGCCTCTAAAAATTATTATTTATTAAAATAAATATTAAATATTATTGATTATTAAAATAAAAAAGTCATAGAGCGATTTATTGTGCTATCGCATCCAACTGCATTGTACCATTCACGTCTTCATTAAATCCCAAATATTTTTTTTTTTTTTATTACAGCTGCTATTTAAATTTAATATTTTATATTTATTACGGCTAATTATTTTGGTAATTATTTCAAATATAATGAAATATTTTGAGCGATTTTCAACATAACCATTCAATAATTCATTCAGTAATTTTTATTTTTAAATTAGTAGAAAATTCCGTTAAAAATTCATTGATAAAATTGATAAAATTAGGAATTCATTAATAATTCCAATAAATATTAACACAAATTATATCAAATATTTAATTGTTTTGTTAATTTTATAAAATAAAATAAAATATAAAATATATAAAAATATTATAATGTATATAATAAATCATTAAAATAAAATAAAAAAATTTATTCGCTATTTTAATTGTTTAATTTAATTTAAATATAAATATATATTTGAGAAGGAAATTTTTGAAAAATGGAGATAAATCTGAACCATTTTATCATTTTGTATTTTATCGTATTTCCGTTGAAAAGCGCTATTCTTTTTCAGTTTTTAAAATTATTGATAAAAAATTGATAAATTGATAAAATTGATTTATAAAATAAATATTATTGAAATCATTGTTTCAAGAAAGAAATTTTTACCTATTTTGTATGCTAAACTAAACTTCTATTGAAAAATTAAACAGCGAAATATTACGAAAATTATCAAATAGCTAAAAAAAAAAATACAACAAAATCGGTACTTGGCTGTTCGAATATAATAAAAAATTTTTAGAATGGCCAGATTTATCGTTTCATTGAAAAATAAAGTGAAAACGCCAAATATATCAAATGTAAGGATAATTTTATGCTTGAAAATCAAGAAACTGATTCATAGCAGAACCTCGTTAATATATGTTAAGTACCATTTTGAAACAAAATAGACTGATTGCCTTTCAAAGACTGATTGCCTTTCAAACCTCGTTATATTCATTTCTTTTCTCTTGACGCTTCTTTATACTATTTTCGTCTTGTCTTCCTTTTTTTAAGAACCCTTACCATTATTGGTTAAACTGACTCCGCTGGCTTGTCCGCACTAGATTGATAGGCCAGGTAGTTCTTTAGCAATAGAAGTACACGTGTATCCGGATTTTTGCATAAATTTGCACCTGTGGTAAGTGGAATTGCGTAATAGCTCCGAATTGCAACGACCCACTGAAACATTCTATGCCTCTTAATTTTGTCCTTTAAAAATCATCTAATTTCCGTTGTATTCATATACCTCAAAATCGCAATATCATGATTCTCTCATCATTTCATCTCATTCATTCTCATTCATTCATTTTTATTTGAGCAGCCACAGCCCAAATACAAAAACAATATTAAATTACTCATCGTTCGGAACAATGAAAAATCTAAAGTAAAATCTAAAGTAAGTGAATAAGGAACAAAAAATAAGAAGCATAATTTAAAGTGCCTAAGCCTACGAATTAATTAATCTATGAGTATGTACTGAAAATTTTTCAAAGGCCAAATTTACAACTATATTTATTTGCAATGATGTTATATTTCTCGAATAAAATGAGATTTATTAGATTAAATAAATGAACAAGAAAATGAGGAGCATACCAAATGAAACTTAAGAGCACCAGCAAAATCTTAGGGGTTATTAAATGAAGTACAACAGAGTTTATTAAAAGGTTACAATGGAAGAAGAACGACTGTGAAGTTTGCAAGATTAGGTTTGGCCAGTAGGATTTTAAGAGAATACTGAATATTCTTTCAGAGGGAAATAAGTTTGGCTGGCTTATACAAAAAAGTTTCAACGGGGTTATTTAGGAGGCATAATGGATATAGGAATGGTCTTGGAGAATTCATGATTTCATCTAAAGAAGCTCGCGATAATGTCATATAATTATACAATTATAAATATATTACTAATAATATATAAATATTATTATAAATTTTTATTATTTTTCTATATCAAATAATAAATATTTATTTTTATTTTTTTTAAGAGCCCTCACCATTACTGGTTAAACTCGCTTCACTGGCTTATTGCATTGGGCAAATATGACGGGGATTGATAGAAATACAGGTGAGTTGCCAGTATCGTCTGGATATTGGTGCAGCTTTACTCTTGCGGGGAATCGAACCTCACAATCGGTGCCCCAGTTGAGCAACAATCCAATGAGCTATTCTATCTCCTATCCTATTAGAGGATTCATGATTTCATTTAAGGAAGCTCGTGATAATATATTTTTGAATAGCACCCATTTATAACCAGCGATTTTATTTCTAAATATATTACTAGTATTATATATCTTTATTTTTTTATATCCAACAATAAATATTTATTTTTATTGGATCGTTAAAAAATTCTTTATCCGACATTTTTTAAGCAAATAATATGCTTTCTTTTGCGTAACCATGGATATATAACCTTGATTAATTTCGGCTTAAATATAGAACCTCGCAATTTTTTTAAAAATGGCTAGTAACACAGTTGGTAATTTTTTTCTCTTTAGCCTTTCTTTAAAATTTTACAATTATTTCTTTTCATTTAGTCAAAATTACGTATATTCCCTATAAATGAAAGTAGAAATGGCTCAGTAGGTTGTTGCTCAATTCGGAGCGCTGATACTGAGGTTCAATTCCTCATAGGAATAAAAATTCGGCTAATACCATTGATTCATCTGTACTTCTATCGCCAAGAGACTCTATGGCATATTCGTCCAACGCAACAAGCCACTGGAATTTAACCGGTCATGGTGAAGGTTCTAAAAAAAAAAGAAAAAGATATTTCCTACAAGTAAATAAATTTCCTATAAGTAAATTCAGATGGTTAGCAGAATATTGTGTGCCTAATAATGCATGAAAAGTGAAAAATTAGCGTGTTTGGCAGATTTTGCTCATGTTTTACAAGCAAATTTAGTTAATCGAAAAGAATGGTTAGTTTTTTTTAAGATGTTTTCATAGAAACAAATCGTATTCTCTGCTTATTCATTGTTTATGTTTTTAGATCGTTGCCTATACTAGGCTGATGAAAAAAATTAAACCCCATTGTCGACTTGCCGATTTGTTCTTATCGAAAATTAAATTTGCTTATGAAAACTATAAAAATCATATAAAATCTAATATTTGTAGCTATATAATAAAAGATTTAGTCGCAATACTTTCATTAAAATTCATTTGAAATTTATCGTTATTGTAATTATTTTCTTTGGATTCACCTATGGATTTCCTGTGGATCTATGGATTCACCACGAATGTATTGGTTTCATGTAAAATTTTATCAAAAAAGGATCCTTAATCGGACAACGAGTAAAACAAACAAAATAATCTGATTTTCTCAACCTGAATTGTTTAAAAATTAATCAAATATATGAATGTAAAAAGACTTTAGAAGAAGTTTAAAATTTAAAATTAATTAATAAATTAAAATTTCTGTAATAATTCACTTTTCTTATAATCATGAAAAATTTTCCTGGAAGTTACAGTGGAATTCTAAAATGCCCAAATTATTTCGAATGAAAATCATTTTTAGTTTAAAGCTTTAAATTTTTTATCATAAATTGAAAAATTGAAATAAAGTTCCATACAAACAATGTACTTATTAGAAATTCATAATTTTCTATAATTTTTTTTTCGCTAAAGTCAATTAATTTCTTATTTTCAGTATTTATCAGCTTTCAATCTATTCAAAAGAATCATATCATTGATAATTTTGATATTTATCACCATTGGTTTCCTTATTTTCCATTTGATATTAGTCGAACGAATTTATTTTAATCATTTTTCATTAAAATTTGCATGGAAGTAAGCAGAGACCTTTTACATTTTAATTTAAAATAATAAGCTCCCTCAAACAATGCCTGAAATCCTCAAAATTTGGTTAAATTCATAAAATTGAAAAAAAATTATGCTTTAATTGAGGCTTATAAAAAATTTTTAGCTAAATAATACATCAAAATTCCATAGAAAATCAGATTCAAGCTTTAGAAAGGAAATCGCTTTAAGCGATTTTCACTGTTTTTCTCAACTTATTCCAGTAGAAGTACGAATAGAAATACACCAATAAAAAAGTACCGATTTATAGTACCAATTAATAAGTATATGCACCTCATTTATCGGTTATTCGCATTTTAAAATTAGCCATATTAAGAAAAATCTCGAAATTCGATTTTATTTAAATCATCGAAAATATCCTCTTTTTTATAAGATATCGGAAGAAGATAAAAGTTCATTTTAGCATTTTATTCTTATTTCTGGGTACCAAAACTCGGTTTCTCTCTTCCCGACAAGTGCAAATAAGTTTTTTAAGAATCTAAATAATGCTGTTGACTAACTGGCTACTTCTATCGTCAAATGACTTTCCAGTTAAAGTTTACACAATCTGATAAGCCAGTAAAACTAGAAATGATAAATGGAAAATACGAATTCTTGAAAAAAAATGTTTTATTTGCATTTTAATAGATTTTTTATTTGCAAATTGAGGAGTTTCGAAATTGGAAATTCAAAATTTTCAATAAATGATAAATATCAAAAAGCATTAGAAGATTATGCAAAATTAACAAAGGCAGCGATGTCGAGAATATCTTCGAGATTTTCAACTATCAATTGCGATGAACTGTTTAGTGATAACGCTAATAAAAAACAAATTAAAAATGCAAAATCGTTTATTTATGATTTCAATAACACACAATTAATATTCAAAAATGGAAGACAAACATCAAACATGACAACGATCCTGAAATCGGAGTGAGTCGTATATTTATTCTTTTTTCTTTATAATTCCTGTAAATTTTGTATTGGAATAAATCATTAACACTGGAATATCATGGAAAAATATCATTTGGCGCCGATAATTCAATTTATTTCACATTGAAAATCGATAGATTTATGAAATTCTGAAATATTGAACCATTAAAAAAAGGCTTTGGAACTTGGACAGTAGTATTAAGTGAGCCTTTTGCAAACCATAAAGTTAGGTATAAAATCCTTTTTTCATTCTCTATAGATGGCATGGCTTATCCTCCACCACCACCACCAGAAGCCTGGAAGCTTTAGAAATTCTGCACAGTATCTTAACTATTTCTAACTATCTCTTCCGAATAGAAATATAATTTAATTATAATTCTGGAATCTGTTGGAGCTACTTAATATATGTACGTATATATATCTGCATATGCAGATGCGATAGAATGGCTCAGTGGTTTGTTGTTGCTGAATTCGGAACGCCAATGCTGAAGATCCTATTCCCAGCGGAAATAAATCTGTCCATAAAGTCGAGGTGATTCTGGCTGCTCATCTTTACTTCTATCACCAAGAGATTGACTCCCTTAGTTTATTAGCATATTTTTCCAGTGTTACAAGCCATCGGAGCGATTTTTAACCAGTAACGTTGAGGTCTCTTAAAAAAATATATATATGTGCATATACGGTGGTGCAGCTAATTTACCACCCATAATCGAAACTTCGATTCGAATCTGCCGGCTCCATTCCGCGTTAGGCGATACTACTGTCCAATGAAGAAAATAAAAGGAAAATAGAATAGTTTTCAATAGATGGTTGGTTGCTCATTCCAGAGCGCTGACAACTTGGCAGGATTAAACCTATACAAAATTCGAGGTATTCAAGCGATTCACCAATATTATAATCATCAGGGTACTCATTGGCATATTTGTCCAGTGCCACTGGCAAACCAGTGGAACGAGTGTAACCGTAAATTGTAAGTATTCTTAAAAATTATAAATGTTTAGGTGCGATTCTATCGAGAATACGTTTGGATTTTCGAATAACACTCTCTCGAAAGAAGAAGAAGATTTTCCTCTTGCATTCGGCTTATTAGTTTATAAATGGATTGATGAAGTGAATTTTCTTTAAAAAAAAAATTTTAAATATAAAAAATATAAATATGAAAAAATTTTTTTAAAAAATTTAAAATTTTCTAAAATTTTTTAAAAAAAGAAATTAAGAAATTTTTAATAAATTATTAAATTATTAATCGACTAATTTTTAAAAATTGCTATTTATAATTTTTAATATTTCAAGATTTTATACATATTGAGTGCCTTCTTTCATCCGCAAAACATTTATTGCATTGCTGTCGACAGTTCTAAAGATATTCAATTATTAACAACATTGCAGAAACTATCAAAATGCTATCCAAATATAATCGTAACGGTTCATTATCAATTTTCTGATAAAAAGTTCTTATCAAGTTGTAATAAATTCTGAAAAAAGTAAAAACTACAATTTTTCTAGGGAATTTAAATGAACTGAAATTTTGGCAAGAAAATACAAAAAATATTTTTTATTTTTAGGCCTCATTTTGAATTCAATCCATTATTTTTGTTTTTAATTGTTTCAGTAGTTTTGGGAAAAAACAAAATAGTACAATAACAATAAAATACAATATTGGGTCAAATTAAAATGTATATTTTCTACAATTAACGCAGCTAAAACTAAAGCCTCGCTTTAGTTTAGAATGTGTATAGAATAGAGCTGAGATTTGTGTGAATGTGTTCAATCCCTCAAGGCATTTAGAAATAGTCATTTGTTTCTTTGTCAAGCTTGAATCCCACATTAGATTCAAGTTTTAACCAAGATAGGCCAAGTCATGTCGAGAGAAAGGAGATAATTTCATAATTTTATTAAATTTTATTATTAAGAAAATTATGATTATTGCTGCTATTATTTTATTATCATTATTATTTTATTATTATTATATTGATATTATTAATAATTATTAATTATTAATTATTATGTCCAACAATTTGTTATTCTGTTATTGTTATTGCTATTATTTATTTGTTATTAACATTCATAATAATAATAGCTTATTGTTATTATTTATTAGTCACTATTGTTATTATAATTATTATTACTATCATAATAACAACATATATAATTATTACTATTGTTTTTATAAATTGTTATTTGTTATTGTTATTTATTATTATTATTATTATATGAAATGATTTTATTTCAATTTTTTATTTAATTAGTTATCTATTTTTATTTTTTTTATTGCCTTCGAATTTTTGAAATTTATTATTTATTTTTTTCAGTTTTTTATCGTTTAGTTTGAAATTTTTAATCCTATTTTTTTTTAATAATAAACTGCAAAGAATGAATAAAAGTAAAAAGAGTAATTAAAATAAATATAATTAAAAAAAGAGTAAAAGTTTCAAAAAAATGGTAAGAATAGGGAAAAAATAGAATGATTTTTTAATATAAAAAGCAATTTGTAAAGAAACTTAAATAATTCAAATCGTTAAATTCTATTCAAATATAAAATAAATTATAATAATATTATTATAATAATATTCTTGATAGAAAAACTCAAATCTCTAGGATGTGGGAAAGGTGGAATATATGCATTTTACGATAATCGCAGCTGTTCATAAATGCTTAACAATATTGGCGAGATCGAATCATAAATGGAAATATTATCAGGTTTAATAAGCTAACATTTCTTTGTGTAATTTATAAAATTATCTTTTGATAATTGATAATCTTACTGATAAATTCTTTTGGCTCCCGTTTTAGATTTGCCCATTCTCCCATTCTCTTCCGCCCATCTCGTCTCAGAAATTAATAAAACATGGCACAATATCAACATTATAAAATACGCCGGAGAAAGATTTGTAAAATATTAAAAATTTCCACTTAAAAAATTAGAAATTAGATTTTTATTATTATTAAATTTATTATTATTACTGTTATTATTGTTATTAACATTTATTATTTATCACTGTTATTTATTTTTATCATTATTAATAATACTATTAGTACTATTATTATTATTAGCATTACTATTATTAAATAAGTTTAGTACATCTCGAATTTCGATTTGCCACTCAAAACAAATCGTGAAATGGTTCGGATTTTTAAACGTTTAAATGGATCTTTTAATACGGAAATCTCTGAATATCAAACAGAAAGACTTGAAAAAAAAGCAGTACGTCTTTCTTTTCAAAGCTTAATTTGCAAAGTCTTTTACCCTTAACTTAAATGAGCAAATTTAGGTCGGCTATTTATGCTCAAATGCATCATTCACCATTCCATATCCATCCATACATTTTCATTTTCAGCAATTTTCTTTCGTTTTATTGCGAAAAAAGAAAAAAAAAACTCAAAATTATCAAATTGTCAAATTTGATAAAATTATCAATTTTATCAAACTTTTTCAAATATTTAACAATAAATAAATTTGAAATATTTTCAGAATAAAACAATTCCATTTGGCATACGATTGTTTAAATCAAGCATTTCGGCTACATTTAGTAGAAAATCGGCGAATTTTATTGCAACCGATAAACGTGTTCTTGAAATTTTGGATTTTTTAAATGGAACAAACGTTCCTGACGAGTCTTTTTGGGCGACAATTGCAGGCAATCTTGGTTAGTGATAACGTTAAAAAAGATATATATTTTGATATAATATGAGATGATAATGATATGCGATAAAAATAATATAATATGAAAAATGACATTTTAAAATAAAGTTTCCATATTAATTTTAAGATCAACTTTAGAAATTTCTTAAAAATTCAATTTTATAGTCGATTTTCGAATTCTCAAATTCATACATCCAGAATGAACCATTTGAACAAAACTAAGTACTATTAATTAAATTTTCAACTTTTCTCGCTGATAATTTTGCCTTCTTTTTCTTTTCTATTGCCGTAGGCAATAAATAAGGAAAAAATCGAAATAAGTGATAAGCGCTTATCGTTTCCTATTACGACTGGCTCGGTTCAGCTGGCTTGTTGCTTCGATTACCAGCGGATCACTTGGTTATAGTAATCCCTCATTAAAATTTTTTAATGATAGGTTTAGTTCTGCCAGAGTACGAAGTAAAATATATGATCCTTAACGCGAATCCTCGCAACCATATTACACGACTCGATCATATATCTCTGCGTAATTTCGTACAAATTACCTAAATTTCAGTATTATATTTTTTCTCCTGCAATATGTATATAATTTTATTTTAGAACTAGGAATGCCATATAGTTTTAATGGTAGTAAATGGCTTGAAATAATTCATGAAAATAAAAATAAAAAACAACTTCCTAATATTCAAACGTCCAATTTACCATATTATATATCACGATATCAGTTATGGTATGATAAGAATCGATGCAAAGGTTAAAGGTTAAAATAAATCACAAAATATGTAGTGTTTTTGACTATTTAATAAATATTTTTTATTTTAAATATTTTATTTTATTTTATAAATATTTTATATTATAAATATTATAAATTTTTTATTTTAAATATTATATTAATATTTTTCTTCTCTTTCTTCTAATTTTATTCGCAAATTAATTTTCTTTATTATTTGCAGGTAAAATCATTTTTGGATCGTGTGCTTTCGGTATAGGTGATCTACCAATACTTTTACGACGACCTGAATTAGTTGCTCATAAATTATATTTAAATTTAGAGGCAGCTTCTTTCTTTTGCTTATTTAAGAAGATACGTGATCGAGCATTAGATCCCATTGAAAACTTCGACGATGCTAAATATGGTCAATTACCTTGCGCAAAGGCTACTCGAGGTGAAGACATTAGGTTCATAAAATGAATGCCTTAATTTATTGACCTACATATCATCCCCTTGTTAGTGGTCATCGTCGATCTCGGATCATTTACCAGAGGCTTGGGAAATTCAAGGTACTATAGTATTTTAGTTGTTCCAAATAATGCGCTCTTCTGAGTCTCTAATGTTGTTCTTAGAATCTGACGATGCTACTTTTCTAGTTTAGAAGTCACAATTCCGAGTCACTGCAATTATCACTGGAATTATATGTATATTTACAAATGCACTATTTCTTAAATGCTATTAATTATGAATTTACCAGACGAATGTTTTATATTCTTCTATATCAAAGTTGCTCATTACAAAATATTATTATATCCAATTCACTTATAAGTTTTTAAAAAAAAAATTGCCAAGAACAAACAAAAGGAAATAGCAAAAAATTTATTGACAAATATTTATATTTTTATAAACAAATAGAAAATATAATAAATGAAAATTTTTGGTGAAAGAAAATGAAACATGTCTTCCCCATAATTTAAATTTAATACCCGCAGGCAGCAATTAATTAAAATGAATTTTCAAAAAAATATCAGAAAAATTTGACTTATTTTTATTTAAATTTATCTTTTAAATTCTTCCAAATTGAAAAGATTTCTCTAAATTTAAATCCAATACCCAATATTAAAATAATTTTCAGGGTTGAATTTAAATAAGGATTTGAAATCCATTTTTAAACTAAATTATTATTTATCCCAATTATATTTCCGAATTAATAGATTAAAAACTAAAGAACAGAAATGCATTAATCTATATTGATCACAACATTCTCCAACTTTACTCTCTTCTTTTGCTTTTTTACTAAATTAGAATTAATTTGTGATATTTTGCCATCCCTGAAATTCATACTTTTTAATTTAGTTTTATTTAAATTTCAAGCATTATAATTTAACCTCTTCTCCTACATCAACAAAATATTAAAAAATCAAGCGATTGCGCAATTCACCTATGCTTTTCTCTTCAAGCGATCCCCTAATTGAAATGTTTCATCGTAATACCCACTCAAATTTTTGAATCTAATGACCAAGGGTTAAATGCTATAAATCAGAACAATTATTTCGAGCTTAGAGAAGGATGCAGATAAAAACTTTTCCTTTAAAATTATCTAACTGTCCTAAATTTACTACTACACAACATAAGAAGGAAGAATATACCATGGAACTTTGGAATTATAAAAAAAATATCAGCTACTCAAAAAACTAAAAACTTCGAGAAATGTGCTAATTTAAAACTAACTCTTTAATGAGTTCGCATTCATTAGATTCGATTATTGTTTCATTAGAAGGATCAAATTTTTTCAAATATTTAAAAAGAGTATGACTTTCTGCAGATTTTTTTGGAGTTCTTATTTCACTTTTCAATCGTTCCGGAGTGCTTCTAGTTGTCTCCGATATTGCCTTTTCTTCTTCTAAAAAACATATATCCCATTCAAATTTATGTAGATCTTTTTCTCACCTACTGTGGATGATCATCCTCAATCTCGAATCATCTATATATGTATACAGACAATTTCAATTTCTTATAAACATTTTTAAAATCATTAGCCTATTCAACGATTATTCCTTACGGTCGTATGCAAAAAATTCAAATAAAAGTTCAAATTCAGAAAAAATAAAATACGAGATAACCTGGAGGTAAATTTACGATATCGGGTTTGGGCTTTTTCGAGGTTCTTTTCGAAGTCTTAGGATGAATTAAAACTGGTGATGGGCAAGGATTTATCGCTTCCTCAGTTAAATCACCAATAGCAGCTAAATCCAACCTGAATCCTTTCATTTAATCATTATTTTCGAATTAATTTTCATAAGTTTTTTTCGAAAGTTAACCAGTAATAAAAAACTTTAAAGAACCTATTACCTTACAAAGCTGCAGTAGCCTTCAAGCGAAGTAATCAGTAAAACTCGGCCGTCATAACTCCAAACAACATCGCTTAGACTATTGTAATGAATATTATCAATATATGCAAAGGGTAATTTACTTTGACTATCATACAGCGACACAGAATCTTTAGTCATTATTGCCCATACTACTCGATAAGGCAACCTAAAAAAATTATAATAAATTATAATCATAATTATAGAAAAAATTATAAAATTATAGTTAATTATAGTTAAATTATTTACTTTCTGAAAACATTTTACCAACAAGAAATAATGACTCGATATAGGAAAAAAGTGCATCATGCTCTGGTTAAGGTTAATGAGTCGAAGGTTAAAAGTGAGAATGGGGTGAAAAACTGGCTATAAGTGACCTTCGTAAATAAATCGTATTTTGCGAAGTGGAATGGTGACGGTGCAATGAAAAGAAAAATAATAATAAATAACCCAGTATAATTTTCATTCACGTCTTTTCTTAGTTGAAAACGTTTCTGACAAAATACTACTCTATATGTGGCTCTCTTTGATGGAAGTATGGCAAAAGGACGGTCGCTGAAACAAAATAAAGTATTTCAAGTAATAGTACGCAATAATAGTTTAGTTTAGAATATAATATAAGGAGTAGTATGATATAAGAAAAAATAATAATATATAAATAAAATAAAATATTTCCTAAATTATCAGCCGAATAATATTTTTTCAATTATACTAATGCAACCAATGCAATGAAATTTTATAATCATAGAATATGTAGAAAAAATCAAAAATATATTTCTATGAAATATTTGAAAATTATGGCTAACTTGAGAAAATCAGAGCGCCTAAATATATAACTCGCATAAATATTTGAACCACCTACTTCCAAATGCCCACCTGAAAAAAGTTTTTTCAAAACAAATTGGATAAATTTTTATTTTTTTGAAATTGTGAATTAAGATTTGTACATTATATGATTTATTATGAAAAACTGCCGCTAAGACTTTTTAAATAATGCAACCAAAAAATAAACTGACTTGGTGCTACAAGCAATTCCCCACAAGGTGAAAAATCGGCAACTCTTGCAAATGCCATCATTTGGTCATCGTGGAATAATTTATAAACCTTTAAATTTAAAAAATTTAAAAAATTTTTGTAAAACAATAACTAACCAATATATAACCTAGTAAATTTCTCATTTTCTTCTTTCATGCGCGAAGAGATAAACGAAAATGATATTGTTAAGATAAAAAAATAAGAACAGCAAAAAAAGACGTAAAAATGGAAAATTCTAACACCGGCTAAAATAGTACGGCCAAGATAACATTGCGGTAGATCGATACTCGAAATAGTTCGAAGTTTTATTCCCTTTGCAGCACTCAAAATATCCAACTTCCGATCAGTTGACATCGTTACGATATATTTCCCGCGAGGATCCCAAACAATGCCATTAGGGAAACTTCGAAAATTTTTTACTGTCCATGAACGAGCGCCTGAATACTTCGAATTATTATAAGAGATGCTTTTACAAATTAACAATAAATTTAAGGAATTTTACCGAGCAACACATTATATACGATAATGGATTCATCATTTGATACAGTAGCAATTTGCGAACTATCTGGGCTCCAGCACAACCAACATACATCATAATCGTGTCTACAACATAAAGATGAGAGAAAAATCTAAATCTAACCTTATTTAATCGAAAAATCTAACCTTATTAGAAATTGTTAAAATTTGCTATTTGTGCAGCATATAAAACTATAAAAAGTTTATACCTGACAGATTGTTTCATTCGCACCCAGTTTTCTTTATTTGGAGGTATTGCATCAATTTCATCAGATTCAACAATCTCTCGAACAGGTGTGGAAGGATCAATTTTCCAAAAAAGGACAAATCCTTCACAATCACCTGATGCCAATATTTCACCTTAATACAGTCAAGCTTATTTCAAAAATCCACTAAGATTTTACTCAAATTTAGTTAGTTAGTTGGTACCAATAAATGAATATAGAGTTGAACATGGATAAGCTCATTCCTTGCTTTTTGATAGAGCAAATCTTTGCACTAAAAATAAAATAAAATGCTGGTGCTTCGGTTTTATCAAGTGCATCTCCAACGGAAAGTTTTCAATTAGTAAATGTAATAAATATAAAAACAATAATTTAAGAAAAAAGAAATAAAACAACGAAGTTTAAAAGAAAGTTTTCGTATTTAATTATTTGTACCATCTTTCATTCTATTTTTCATTAATTAAAAAATATATTAAACTGATTTTTCAAAATTCTCAATAAATATTCGTACCATTTGGTGAGAATCGAGCAATATTAACGGGTCCACGATGCCCTTCAAGATTAGCGATAAAATTAACAGCAAGACCAGCACGATTTCGTGAATCTCCAACATTTTCAAAATCGAATGACCAAATTCGTACTTCCCTTTGCGTACTCGTTGTTACGATCTTTAAAAAATATAATTGCAAGGAAAATTTTAGAAATTTTAGAAATAAAAAATTTTAAAAAAAAATACATTAATCTAAAGGTGCTTCTTTGAAGAATTTGAAACTTTCTCTAATTCTCAGTCCATTTCAACTATTAAATAATTTAATATATTTCGGTGTTCACATATTTTAATGAACAAAATAGCTAGAACACCTCTTACTAATTGTTATTATTCTAATTTTGGAGCATCGTTATTCGAATTATCACAAAATCTTATCAAAGTTTATTTTCTAGAAAAAATTATTTTTACAATAATAATTTTTTTTTTTTTTTTTTTAAGAACCCTCACCATTATTGATTAACTCACTTCGATGGCTTATCGTACAAGACAAATATGCTAGGGAATCTCTTAGCGATAGAAGTACAGCTGAATTACCAGCATTACCTGGATTTTTGGACAGGTTTATTCGTGCGGAGCTCCAACGCTCCGAACAACAATCTACAAAACAACAATCAATCTACTGAGCCATTCCACTCTCCTCTTCCTCCTTCTCCCCCTCTCCCAATGTTCATTATTAGAAAAATTATAAAAACATGAAAATAATGATAATAATAATAATAATCAGCGTAAAAGAAAAACATAAGGAAAACCTTATAAATTCCTCTATTATCGTTACCGATAAATTGAAAAGCGGCCGACAATAAAGCTTTCCGATCGTGCCAATAAATTTCCGGCAAATAATGTTCCATTCTTAAATTTACTTTTTATTAAATTTTTATTTATTTTGTTAAAATTATTTTGTACAAAATTACGAAATTTCAGTAAAATCATAAAAATTCTTTAGGAAATTTTTTTAATTTAATTTTAAAATTTATTTTTTCAAATAACATTTTTTATCTTTTTTTTTTTTAGAAAAAATGCCAATAAATTTTTCAAAAAAGTTTTTTTTTGTTTCTTTTTTTAAAAAAAATTTAAGAGCGCTCAATATTTCTTATTTTTTCGATAAATTTTGTGATTTTCTAATGATTTTCAACAAATTTAATTATTAACGAATTAGTTGAATTAGTTTTTTCAAATTTATTTTTATTTCGAAAAAATTATTTTTTTTTATTTATTTAAAAAACTGAATTAAAATTTTTCCATTTTTTCTAATCTTTTTTTTTTAAACTAAATTTTTCTTGAAATTTTTATAAATTTTTCTTTTTTCAAATTGAAAATTCCATTCAAAAATGGTTTTTTTGCTAAAAATATGGAATTTTGACAGAAAAAAAATTACCCACGCGGGAATTTTTAGGAAAAAAAGAACAAAAACACGTAATGTGGCATGAGATTTGTTCTGTGAAATAAATTTATCTTCCCGCCAAAAATTTTCAAATAGCTTAAAAAATATATTGCAGCACAAAACCCTTTGCGGCATCCCCATACCTCTCACTCAGTGCATAGTAAATTTCTTCTTCCGAGTTTCTGTCTTGCTAACTCCAACGCCTCTATTAAGGCTTCCTAACACCATACTGAAAATAATTGGAACTACAACATATAAGCCTCGGATATTGCGCTGGGCCGCTTTTGCACCGAAAAGTTTCTCCTCGTTTTCGATAGCCATTAAAATCGTTTCCTATTATAGCCGACACGTTCTCTCTGACATAAAGTTAATGTAAAATTTTTCATAATAAAAAAAAAAACATTCTAAAAAAAAAGCCTAAAATTACTAATGAAAATAATTTACTCTTATAAAAATAGGTGCTTTTTTGATTTAAAATTTCGAATTTATTCGTATTCTTAATTATATTTAATTATATTTATTTATTACATTATTTATAACAAATATAAATAATATAATAAATAAAATTAAAAAATGCAAATAAATTTTCTAACAAAAAAAAGCCACAAATATAAAAGGTGATTTTAGAATTTTTATTAAATTATCAATAATATTATAATGTTACAAAAAAAATTGGAAAAATTTGATATTGTACAAAAATCATTCCAATAATTAAATATGTAATAAATAGGTGACAATGGTAATAATATTATTCAATCAGTAAGCCTAATACAGGCAGCTATGAGTTCCATTCCATTTTTTTGCCACATTTTAAGGTTTGCTTCTCTTTTTTGAATAATTTAATTCCTCTATCTGATTCACTAAATTTTCTAAAGATAAAAGAGAAATTTTAAAAATGCTATGGTAAAATATTAAAAGTATGGCAGTTTTGCGATGAAATTTGCTATTTTCGATGCTCCTTTACAATTTTAAAAAATTCATTCTAAAATACAATTGAATTTTTGCAAATCACCCACAATTATTCACTCTAACTGATTTATTTTATAAAATTTATAATAAATAATTGGTGAAAATTTGTAAAAAAATAACATTAAAATTTTTTTTATAAAAATTTCTATCCAAATATTGAAGAAAAAAAAAAAAAAAACTTTTCGTGGTAATTTCATAAATATGATAAAAATGAATTTAAAAAGACAAAAAAAAAAATGAAGTTTTAATTAATTAACGAATTGAGGTGCATTTCCCCATTTTTCGCTAATCCATTTAATGGTTTTAACCGGAAGTTGAGGACCAATAAGAGGATTTAACTGATGCAGATATACAAGAATCCAAAATAACCAACAACAAGCCGCTGTTAAAACAATCATCGTTTGAATTAATCCTGAAATTTTCAATTTTCAAATTTGTTAATTTATTCACAATCAATTATGATTCTAAAATTTTTAAAGAAAGAGCTATGCTACAAAATTATGAAATCATGAAATATTTTTATCATATTCTTCATTTTATCTTATCATATTTATCATGTTACTATATATTACTTCTTTACAACGTTAAGCAATCACTTACAGCAATGCTCCCAACAATGCTTACATCACTAATTTCATTATTCTTTTGTTCTCATAGTAGTAAAATGAGGCTAAACCATAAATTCAAAATTCAAAAATATTTTTCAACAGAATAATGCATTTATATTTGCCGATCTCGAGGTTCTTCTCTCCTTTCATGCCTATTATAACTATTTTTATCGATTTTTTAAAATTATAAAATATAAATAAAATGGATTTATAAAACGCTTTTCCTTTTGTTGACAAAAAATTTCTCTTTTATTTACTTAAATTCTCTTTCATCTTCACTAATTTGTTGAAAAAAGGCAAACAAAAAATACCTCTATTTACTCCTTTTGGTGCTAAAAATGGTCCAACAGCACCAACAAGTAACCAGAATATTGTTCCAACAAGTAAAGGCAATATTACACCCATCGTATGAATAATTAACTAGAAAAGATTTATTCAAAATAATAAAATGATGATTATTATAGAGATGACAAAAATGAATTCATAAGAAAGCGATTAGTCACTAGTCATTTAGTCATTGTAATTTAGCTAATTCTACTCGTATAATTTAATTTAGTAGGATCCGAGATCATTGCTAAGGAAACATCTAGTAGAAGAAGAAACCTAGGTGAGTACCATTCGGATAAATTTCATCGATGGATTTTTTTTGCGATTTTTTTTCATAATATTCAAAATTATACAAAATCCAAAAATTAAACAAAATCTGGCAAAATTTTTGATAATTTAACGCTCTTGAGATCTTTTAAGCAGATGCCAAGCAGAACCGATTTTAAGCCATAGCCAATGATCGATCCTGTAAATATCAGCTCCACCTCGGCAGCTGATTAATGATATTAATCGGTATCGGAGATTTATATTTTCAACCAAAAAATTTCCAATAAATTTCAATTTGAATTGATTTGATTTCCATTTGATTTCTTTCGCTTGTTATATGCACTTTTATATACAAATTCAAAATCGATTAGTTTGCATGAAACAATAGATTTCTAAATCTACAATGCGTAGATTGATTCGATCGAACGAACTGCCAATTAGTGATCGGCCGTCAATTAGTAGTTCAAAAATGATTTTTGATTTTCATAATCGATGTATGGGAAAAAAATTTTGCCGTGTTTTGGATGTTTTTATTATTTTTTATTATTTTCTTCCAGAAAATCCGTAATTTTTATTGTATTTATTTTTCTCGTTTTTTTTTAAAGTCACCAAACCAAAGGATAAAATAACGGGAAGAGAGGAAGTGATTTGCTGGTGTCATTTCGGAGTACCAACGCTGGGATTCTACTCTGTCTAACCTATAGGGGTGTAAACCTATGTTTCAAAGTTATCCTACATGCTTTTATCACCAAATGATGCTCTGTTAAAGTGGTGAACAATGTCCAAAAAATACTATCAGTAAAATGGTGAACGGTGTCCGAAAAATACTACCAGTAAAATGGTAAACGTTGTCCAAAAAACACTACCAGTAAAATGGTGAGAAGTGTCCAAAAAATACTATCAGTAAGATGGCGAATGGTGTCCAAAAAATAATATCAGTAAAATGGTGAACGGTGTCCAGAAAAATACCAAAAGTATATTTTAATTTTATGAGTGACGTTCATTTTTTTGATATTTATAAATATTAATGTTTATAAATTTATATTTTGTGGAATTTTTTAAAGTGGATTATTTAATATGACATTAATCATATTTGTTTTTAATAATTCAAAACGATTTTTTTTTTTTAAAGAAATTTCTCACCATTAGTAGTTGCAGTCGTTCAGCTCGCTTATTGCACTAGAGAAATATGGCAGGGAGTCCGTTGGCGATAGAAGGAGAGCTGAGTTGGTAGGTGAATCACGTGGATTTTTGGATTTATTTATTTTTGCGGGGAGTAGAATCTTCTTCTTTGGTACTCTGAATTGAACGACAAACTCACTAAGCCATTCTATGCCCCTCCCTCCCCATTCAAAATATACTTATATATTTGATACTTTAATTGTTTTAATTAGAGCGATATAAAAGGCTTATCGGTAATTACCGGGATTAATTGATTTATTTTTCAGTAATAATTTTGTATTTTCAGCAAATAAGATGCCACGATTATGTCCATTATGCGGACCAAAATTATCTGCTTTTTGGTAAATTTATTATATTTTTACTTAATTATTATTTTGCTTCTTTTTTACATTCTCTTTTTCTTGTCTATGACATTTATTCTTAACATTCTAAAAAAAACAAGCTATTTTTGATTTTATCCGCTGTATTGGCCGATTTGGATATTTCAAGGCTTTCCAATCCTACGCATTATCCGAAATTTCTGGCGTTCATCAGCAAGAAGTTTAACTAGTCTGTGTAATTAATTTGGTGAGGTTGTAATCGGATTTCTTTTATTGAAAATTGAGCAATTAAGAAATTGAAATGGCTAAAATGAATTTGATATTTTTTTCTCTTCCTTTTTACTTATAATAGTTGATTTTTTTAATACTCTATTTTTAGTATGATTATGTCGGTATGGGGCGTGATATTTCTCGGTCTTCTTGGCGTATTTTTTTATGTTCAAGCTGTTACATTATTTCCTGACCTTAAATTCGATGAAGAACACGAGGTTTTGTCTATTCCGTAAGTTTATTTTGCACCAATTTTTATTTTTCCATATTCCATATTTAGTTTTCGCCAGTTCTTTCTAAGAATGAAATTTTTCTTTACTAGTTTAAAATTTTAACTTTGAAATAGATTTAAAATTGTTGAATGTAATATTAAAACAAAGAATGTTATTTGAAGAATATTTTATATTTGGTTATTTTTTTAATTTTCTTAATTTTATATTTTTTTGCCTTTATTTTAAAATTTTGCAAATTTCCCAAAAATTTTCAGGGAAATTGAAGATAAATATTCGGAGAAAGCGACACAATGCTGGGTGGCTGCGGGAATGTATTTAGTTACATTAATTGTTGTATTTTGGCAAAATAAATTTAATTCAAGTGTGGTCTTTTAAGAATTTCATTGTACTGTTGTTCATATTTTGCGAACAACAATGGTTCATTTTTCTTTATTTCCTCTTTTTTATAATTTATTTCTTTTATTTTTCAATTATTTTTCACTTATTTTCAGTTATATCACCTTAGATATTCAAATAGAACATCCATAAGATTGTTCCTAGGTTATTTCCTTTTTATTCTTAACTAAAGACTGATTTATATTGTTGAATAATTTACGTTAGCATTCTTTATCCTGTATTTTTATTTCTTATATTTTTTATATTTTATGATCTGTGTTTATATTTTCCATTCCAGTCATTTCGAAATTTCTTATTGAACATTAATATTAGGAATATCATCGTATTTTTTTGCAAATAAATTTTTAAAAATTTTTAAATTTAAAAATTTAAAAATTTTTTATATATAATATGAACTTAAATATGAAAAAAAAGACATTTATTTCAGTTGATGATTTATTTAATATTCTAGGGAATCATTTAGTGATTAATATTAACGATTGGGTTCCAGCCTGCTACGGCACTGGATTTTAATAAAAATGTGGACAATAAATTATTTTGGGATAAAAATCGCTAATTATGGTACCTCCTGGGTTTTTAACGGCAGATGGCTCCATTTTCAAGCCTGGAAATAGTCGAATGGACAATGGCTTAAATTACCGTTTAAATGGCTTAATTGGTAACAAGCATTTGAATCCTGATAACTTGTTTTGCTGCCAGTTGACTCCATTGGTGAAAATTGTTAACCGTATTACAAGTCCAACCAGAAATGGTGAGAGCTAACCACTTGCTTAATTATTCATCTATTGCTACAGACAGAGGCTGAACCGTATGGCTAGACTTACAAGCAATATAATCGCTACTACTATTGTTCTTTATTTAAAATAAGAGGAAATTTCTGAAAAAATCTGATTACTTAAAAAAGGTATTTTAAGAATATAAGAACAATTCTTCATAAAAATTTTTTCCGATTATTAATCGGAAAATATTCTAGTTTTCCTTATTGATATTGAAAAAAAAAGTATAGAGAATTGATAATAATAGCTACAAACCATAAATATTCTGTAGACTTAATAAAGCATTTATTTTAAAAATTAATAAGAAATTCTTATAATAATTCGAGAAAGCCACCGAAATGCATTCCCCAAGAATTAGCTAAAAATATATTGAGACTTAAAGAAATAGATCGTCAGTTACCAAAAATAGTTCAGTTCCAATTCGAAAACGGATTTACTTTTTAGCCACAAGCGGATACAAGGGTTATATATTTTGCAGTTTGCTTAGGTTTATATTTAGGTAAAATATTCAGGGAATCAGAGAACAGATGGTTTCCTAACAAGGAATTAAACTTCAGTCCTAATAATAGATTACTATCAAGAAATAGGCATCGACCCATGCCAATTCCAGTGGTAGCAGCATTATTGTCAAGAAACATATACTGCTTGTACTAGTGAATCACAACTGGTAATACCCAATATACTAGAAAATAGCTGGAGAAAGAATAAAATCGTAGAATTCGAACTAAATCATTACATTTTTTGCAAAATTTATTAAGTATATTTAAATAAAATTTAGAATTTATATGGAAAAAAATATCGTAATTATGAACTGAATATTTATTGAATTGAGTCAATTGCTTATTATGGTAATCGTTTGAAACCCGGTTACTGAAGTTTTTTTTAACTGATCCAATTGCCATTTTCCTCGTCGCAAATGATATTCAATGAGTATGGTATTGCTTTTCTCAATTTGTGTTGAATTTTTACGAAAAATTTCACGTACGTGTTTGCGAAGATCGTTTTCTTGTTGTTTTTCAGCGAAACGTAGAAATTGCTTATATAATTGTAAAACTTCCAACTGAAGTTTAGAATGAGACATTAAGAGAAAAAATCTCTGTGAAAAAACAATTTCGATTCGGAAAGTCGCAAATTTTCAAAAGTCTTTTTCGGAAATTTCGATGAAAAAACCTGTAATTCACCTAATGTAATTATACTTTCATAGATCAACGAATTTTAGCAGTTAAATTAAATTTCGAAGAGTAAAGATTGATAGAGAAATTTTTTTAAAAAAATTTTTGTTAATTTGTTAATTTTATATGAATTAAAAATTAATAATGATTAATCAAATTTGTAAAAAATGCTTGAATGCTTGGCATACGTGAAGTAATAAAATCATAATCACAATGTAAATTTTATTAAGTTTAATATAAAATTATTTTCAAAAATTATAACAAAAGAACCATTTTATTTTTTATAAAACCATTTAAGTTACTCTGACCAGCGAATCAAACTATACTTTCGCTTACCCCAACAAACAATTGTAAGATTTTTACCACCAAAATTAATTTCACTGAAATCGATGCTTCTTTTTGGATCGGTATATCTTTTGCCGTTCAGTTTTAATGCTCCTTCTTTCATTAGCACAGAACCGTAAAACTTATCTCTGCGACACTGATTAGCCAAATCACCAAAATTTTTAATTTTTGAACGCGAAAGATGAAATGAAGACGCTTCTCCGAAAAGATTTTCAATTGTTGATGCAGGCAAATTCAAAAGTCCATCCAAATTATCTATAAAATATACACCATCAAGATTTTGCAATCTATATCTATAAAATATTTTATATATCTATAAAATACACAATCAAGATTTTATAATAAATATATGAAAAGGTTAATTTTACCGTGAAATATGGCATTAGAACATTGTTCAGCAATTTCAAGCCCTCTCTGTCCATGAACCAATCTAGTTAATTCGGTTGCCAATTCTTTTTGTGCTATCCATTGACCCAAATTGTTTGAATGATGAACAAGTATTGCCTCAATTTCTTCAAAAGGTCGCAAAGAAAACTGTCTAAAAGTGAAAAGATAAAAACTAATCGTTGTATTAATAGTAATAACATAAAATTGTATTAACATAAATTATAAAAATATTCTTAAGAATAAAGAATCTTATGATTACCTAAAAAGAGCTACGATTTCTTTGTCTGGTTTCTGCTGGAAAAACTGGTAAAAAGCATAGGATGAAGTTTTTCTTTCATTCAGCCAAATATTACCACCAATATTACTTAATGATTTTCCCAATTTATTACCAGCAGCATCAGTAAGAAGTGGCAAACAAAGTCCTGCCGAATTTTTGCCTGATCTTCGCATTATATAATCGCATCCAATATCCAAATGCCCCAACTGATCACTGCCACCAATCTATAATTATTTTTTCTTTGAAATTGTAATTTTTTTAATTTTCTTATTATTTTTTAAAGTTGCAAATAAACAATTTAACAATTTAAGCCACAAAACCCATCAAGCATAATAAAATAACCTGGAAAAAACAATGAAATTTTTCGCTCAAAGTGTACCAATCGAATGTTTGAAATATTTGGTAAAGAAATTCCGAGCAATTAACGCCAAAATTATCACGAAATTTGGATTTAATCGCCCCAGTTCGAAGCATTTCACTGACTCGAAAAAGTCGACATATATTTAAAAATTCACCTAATGACATCTGAAAATTGTAATCAAACATTTTTTAATAAGTATAATTTTTTCTTAACTTCTGTCGATGATCATAATGATTACATCCTCAACCTCGAGTGTTTTACCTGGAAGATTGAGGGTTCTGCGCAGTATCTTAGTTGTTCCTAATAGTGTGCTACGTCAAATAATTATAATTATGATGAGAATGATGAAATTTATTATATAACAATTTTATTTCTCGAAAATATTCAAAATAAATCGTTTTTGATATGATTTCAATGCTTTGATTCATTAATAAATCCATGATAAAATTTCTTAGCATTACAAACAATATTAATTAAATAAATTAATGGAAATCGTTTAACCTTAGAATACCACTCCATATTATCAACTATTTCCAGTTTGTAGGCAATATTTGGATACATTTCCGAGAAATTGGAAAATATATGACTTATTTGTGAATGTATTTGTATTGCATTCAGCCTGATAGTATCGCTTTCCAAGAAATCACGTTCTAAAAGAATAAATAATAGATTTATGAAAATAAATTTAAAACAAATAATGAAAATCGAAAAAGAATAAATTATTTTAGATTTGTTGCTTTAATTTAATTTAAATTAATTGTTAAATTAATTGTTTTCAGTTAATACCTATTTGACGACCGCTAGGATCACCAACTGAAGCTGTTGAACTTCCAATTAACACAATTGCTTGACAACCAAATTGAATACTTCGCAAAAGGCTCGTTAGAATCAACAAATTACCTATATGCAAACTATTCGATGTCGGATCAAAACCTATAAAAAACTTTATAAAATTAAAGTTAAATTAAAGCATAAAATAAAAATTTGACGTATAAAGCGAATCAATTATTAATCTGATTAATCAGCTACTTTTTTTTTCTTTTTAAGTTCATCTTTTATCTTAAAATATTATTTTTATAATAACTCAAATGCATTCAAAGAAATTTAAAAAAAAAGAATCTATTTGAACTTTCGATTTATGAGTTAAGAAAAATGAATGCATTGTATTTACTTTAATTTCTTCTTCTTCTAACAGTTCTCACCATTACTAGTTAGGCTGGTTCCAACGGCTACGAGAGTAAGACGCTTTCAAGCTGCGCGGTCTGATGCCATTGTCGACAGTAATGGAAGCCATTCCTTTTTCCATCGTCTAAGTCCATATATTGCTGGTCCACCTATACGTTCAAAATCTTTTCTCACCGTATCAGTCCAGGTCTTGATTGGCCTACCTCGCTTTTGACATCAACCATCACACGGTTTAGCAAATAATAAAATATGCGTCAACTCATGTGGTGGAAGAAAGAGAATCAGTCCTAATCAGCGAAGGCGGAGCTCAGGCGATAACATTATTTATGCAAGTGGTATTTGAACGAAGATGGATGCGATCTTTGTATATATATTTATTTAAATTTACATGTGATAAATTCGAATTTGAAGATTTAAAGTCGGATTTAAAGAGTAAATTTATTGAATCGAAAAATAGAATTATATGCTAATAGAATGTGATTACCTGCATATAATACGTTAGGTAAATTGTTGATAAGCTGAAAATTCGCATCGACGATTTGCGATGGATGTGCGAACGCAATTAAATCACGTTTCTTTTGCTCAATACAAAATCGTTGCAGTGGTGTTGTTATTAATTGTGTTTTATTGTCGTTGAGATTCGATAAATTGCACGTATTGTAGAAAAGACGAATACTCGCAACTAATTTCTTACGTGAAATCTTTACCATATGAAATTTTTCCAGGATTCTCACACAATATTAACCTGAAAGATGGCAAATTTTACGGCGAAAACCTCGATGTGACCAAGAAATCCAAATGCATCCAGAAAATTTAAATTTCATGAGTTAAGAACAAATTGCGGAAGGCAAAAAAGGTTTCCACCACGAGTATTACGTAAGCCTTGCACATCTTTCTTTTTATTAATGATTCATTAGTGAAGAAAATATTGTAAAAAAGCGTTTCAAGTCAATAAAGTAAAGGAAAACCGAGTATCGATCCAACCGCATTTTTTGAATTATTTATCAATCCAAGCAAAATTGAGCTTATTGAAATAATCAGTCAAGCATTAGAAGAAGATTCCAGTTCGATAAAGAAAAATCAAACAACTCCTTCAAATCTTTTTATATATTAATTATTTACAACAATAACAATGCGATATAGCAAGGAAAAAAGAATGAAGTAAATAAAATAAATAAACAACTGATAAATCCAAAAATTTCTTTTATAATATATTACAATGTTTCCACATATTTTTTCCGAAAAGATTCTTCGGAACATGTTTCAGCGAATTCACACGTTTTGTTGAGACCCATTAAAATAAATTTGTGAAAAATATGGCCAAGATCTGCAAATAATTAATTTTAGCACCGAACATTTCACTCATTAATGTAAATTAAATTTTTTATATTATTTTTCAGAGTTATTTTTAAAACTTAATGTTTGAAACTTTTGGAACCTTCAAAACTTTTCCAATTTTTCAAAATATACCCAAAGGCTATTCTAATTCTCATTCATTAATACCATTTCACTCAGCAAATAATATTGCTCAATTTACATAAGATCAACTTTCAGCGATGGTCGAAAATGATTAACAGTAGTGATGTGATGTTAACAGTAAATGTTTATCATGATCTATATTATATCAAAAACATCCACTGTCATCATCCAAAACTAAACATTTAAAAAATGCAAGGAAAGTGTGATTCGCCTAATTGAAATAGACCAAAAGACTACTACCAATTGAAAAAATTTATAACCTTCCTTATAAATTGCTGGCCACTGTGGAGGACACGAAATGAATTCTCCTTTAGCATTTTTCATATGGCGACGATCAGAAGAAAATTTTTTCAAATATTCCAAAGCCGAAAAAACCCGAAAGTACCTATAATATGAATATAATGAAAATTAGACTAATTTTTACACCACTAAAAATGTTTTTAGCAGACAATAAGCAATGTTTGAGTCACGCAATGATAAATAAATAAATATAAGAATTTTGTTTGCGACCAAAGAAGTAAAAGATTACTCAAAGTATAATTAAAGGCCCGAAGACATATTTCTAGATTACAAGATTTCCTAAGAAATATTTAAAGAGAGATTCCAAGCAGTGTTGATAAAGAATGTTAAATATGGTAAAGTAATTATTGAAAGTAATCACCTTCTATATTTGCTATCTATCGCAATATCAGGACGAAAAGTTTGCGACCAATATGTTTTGAGATCACAAGGAAAATCTAACTTTGTATTCAAGTCATAAACATACTTTCTACCATGCATGTTTCGAATTAATATAACATGATAATCCTGAAAAAAATTGCTCAGCCTCAGATAATAAAATAATAAAAAAATGTTAAATAAAATCAAATAGAGAAACTTTTTGAAGATCACCTTTCATAATGTGTAAAATAAAAGAAGAGAATTTAGCTAACTAAATTTGCAAAAAATAAATTATAAAAAAAATCAATGAAGAATTTCACTACAAGAAAAAAAATGAATGGATGAATGCGAAAAAAAATGAATAAATATGCAAGGGAAAATCCATGCTATTATTATCATCGAAAAAAAATACCCAGATAACCATCGAACCTTCTTTTACGACATTTTGCATCCAAAGTGGAACCTGAAAATAAACATCCACTGTCATCATCCAAAACTAAATTCGTTTTGAAATAAATCTTTAAATTCTGGATAAAAATTTGAATGAGAAGAAAATTCATTAAATATACCCGTTGCAGATCATTTGATATAATTACCACAGACGCATCCTCTGCTGCGCCACGTTTTTCCAATAATTCACATAATTTCCATATATTTTCTTCGCTAAAATGGCATTAAATAGCTTCATATGCTAATAAAAAAGATAAAAGATGCTAACAATTATCCGTGTATTAATTGAACCAATATTGATTAAAATGGCTTGGCTGGATAAAAGGATGGAGCATTCCAAGTTTCCTGATCTAATGTCAAAGTAATAAGAATCAATCTAGACTTCTCTCACTTAAGACCAAACATTGCTGGACTGCTTATGCACTCAAAACCTCTCCTAAACATGTCATTCCATAACCTTTATTATTCAATTTTGATGCCATTCACCACAGGGTTTAGCAAGTACTGAAATATGACATCCAATGGTACACTCTATCACTCTATCACGACGATATTACTAAGATATTCGTAACAACGTGAAATTCTGCACACTTGGCACACCATAATCAAAAACAATCAAATATAGATTTCCTTTTAACACTTCCTTTCATTTTCATTAGGTACATTTTGCAGCCATATAGATTTCAATGTTGATTCCATAGCGATTCCATAAAAATGCGGCTATCTGGACCAGAATTTCGTTTTTCATTTGGATATTCGACATAAGAGTCCAAGATATTTAAGAGACTTCAATCAATGATGAAAACAGATACTTATCACTGCCTGGTACGTATGATAAAATTTAGAAATTTTCTTGGTCGTTCTAATGGTTATATTCGATTTAAAAAAAACTTCTAACGTTTGTTACTCAGAATTCCGTCTAGGATCGAGCTTATTTATATTGATGCAGAGCCCAAATTTTGTTGCAATGATTTGCCTACCATTTGATAAAGCATTTCTTCGTAAATCATTAAAAAATATTTTTACCTGGCTTGTCGCAATTGGGCAATATGCCAGAGAGTCCCTTGGCGATAGAAATAAAGGTGGGTCGCCAGTATCATCCGGATTTTCGTACAGACTTAGTCCCTGCTGAGAATCGAACTTCAGCACCAGTGCTCCCAATTGAGCGACAATCCACTGAACCATTCTATCCTCTTTATTAGTATTCAAAATCTTTGATACTATATTCTGAACTCATTTTGCACGTCATTTCATGAGAGTTAACAAATAGTTCCAAACTATCGCACAGCCGAAAACCATAAGAGAAAAAAAGATAGGGTTCAGAAAAATCGAAATCCCTAAAGAATTTAGAGGTAAGGAAGAAAATACAAATAAAATGAACGATTAGACGAAATAGGCTACCACATGCAATCATATTAACTACATTTACTCATCACTCGCTCTTTTGCAAAATAGTAACTGAATTACTTATAATATATTACCGCTTAACCGCTTACTATTTCACAGTTCAATGGGGATAAATTACTAAAAATTCAGATCTTCCTCAATGACCAAGCAGTGAAATCATAAAAAATTAATCAAATTAATTCTAGTGATACTAATTCTAATAATTTATTTCGAATAAAAGAGGCCAAATTTCGTAATTTTTCAGCCCAAACATTACGACGTGTCTTCATTACGCTAGCGAAAATAGGTATATGGACAATGTCCTCAAATTTCGTTATTACAAGTTGACACTTTAGCAAAAAAGATTTCACGTTAGCAATTAAAGACAGCCAAGGCAGCCAAATAAGGAGAAATTCAAAAAAAAAAAAACTTTTAGTTCTATTAAATATCTTTTCCTTTAAATTTAAAACAAATTATTAAATGAATTTAGTTTTTTTCTAATTCATTTAATATTTAAAAAGTAATAAATAAGAAAAATAAATGAAAAATAATAAAAAATATAAATATAATAAACATCAAAATATAATAAAAATATAAAAAATATCAATATATATCAAAATATCTATCAAATAATAAATATCAAAATAAAAATATCAAAAATCGAAATATAAAAATACCAATAATAAGGAGTATAAGGACAATCTACTTTCGGTGGAATCACGTCATCCCGATCAGTCATCATAATCCAGACGAGTTATCAGCTTATCACCCGAAGTGAACAATAAATAATCTCGTGATAACAATGCAGCAGTATTAATGGTGCAAGATTCTAGCATGTAACCAAGTGACATTATAATCTAATCACATTCAACTTGTTCAATAATATTCAGTCTCCTATAAAATTCGGCCCTTAAAGTACTCTTTGACGATAGAAATCATACAGACTTCTTCCGGTTCGATTTTTGGTGATTGTCTGGTGCCTAGTCGATTAGGTACCTACGGAAAGCTATTCATATAAAATAGTTCTCTCAACAATCAATAATTTCAATTTTTTTTCAAGTAATTTTTATGGAAAAAATGATTATAAACAGAAAGAATTATTTTTTGCGTAAAATTCCACCTCGAAATAGGTCAAAGACGTCAGAGCTTCAGAAGAATCCAAAAAACACTTTTGAACACGAAACATCTCCTATGGCTTGAGCAAATATCTCTTAAATTGGTCGCCCAAATACTGTAACAATCAAACACTAATAGTACACTAATTTCAGCAAATTTCAGCAAATGAATATATTGCCCTCTCTTTTGTTGGCTCATATTTGGCTCATTCATGAATATAGTATAGTCAATTCACCGTTGAATATCACCTTCTGCTTCTTCTAACAGCTCTCACCATTACTAGTTAGGCTGGCTCCAACGGCTTCCAAGCGGCGCGGTCTGATGATATCGTCGACAGTAATGGAAGGCATTCCTTTTTCCATCGTCTAAGTCCATATATTGCTGGTCTATCTATATGTTCAAAACCTTTTCTCATCGTATCAGTCCAGGTCTTGATTGGGCCCACCTCGCTTTTGACGCCAACCGTCACACGGTTTAGGAAATAACGAAATATGCGTCAACTCCTGTGGTGGACGACGGAGAATGTGCCTTTACCAGCGAAGGCGGTGCTCTGTGATAACATTATTTATGCAAGTGGTATTTGAACGAAGATGGATGCGATCTTGTGATATCTTATCCGCTCGACGGATCCATAATATGTACCTTAGACAAGAGTGGTCAAAGGTAGATAATTTCTTAATATCCTTCACTCTCATTGGCCATGTCTCAGAACCATTTAGCAAGATCGAACGGATCACTGCTATATAGATGAGGACTTTCGTTTTTATGCTGATTTCATGACGACTCCATAAAAGTCAACCACCGTTGAATATCACCGTTCAACAATGAATTAATAAAATCCCATTTTTAGTTATTTTTAGTTATTTATAAAGTCCTACATTGTTTTTGGCAAGCAAATATTCTTCATATGAATTTTAAAATCATTGAAATAGAGGAAATTGTCTTCAAGTTGTGGTTCCAGTAGTCTAGCTGTGGAGATCTAAGTTTCTTTTAATTCGACAATCGTTGGCTCAATTAATTAATTAATTGGCCATAAGGGCACGACAACTTATAGCTGAAAGTCCTCGTATAGTTCTCATTGTTATCTTTGCTTGAACTTCATTGACAACATATTAATATAACCAAATCTTTGCATTTTGCATTATATCTGACCAATAATTGAGAAAAATGAAGCAATATAACAATTGATGCTTAGCGGCAAAATGATTGCCACCTAGAATCTGGCTTGGATTCGATTTCTGCCCGACGCATCTTTTTTCATCAGTCGAGAATTTTGCCCAAAGGCGAAAGCAAAAGGAGATGGAATAGCTTAGTGGATTGTTGCTCAGTGTTCGGTGGATGCTAGTAGACTCGTATATATTTCTATTGTTCATTGCATGGAAAATTCATACAATCCAATAATACCCAGTGGATAACAATCGAATCGAAGCCCTTCATTGGTCCTCTTCAGTTTCAATTTTCGTGATAGGTGACAAAGAATAAAAATAGTAGAAATTCAAAGAAATTTTGACAATTTTGCACTGTATTATTAGAAGAGAATGGAATGACAGTAATGATACATCCTTTCGTTTTTTGGAGAGAATTCTCAGATTTTCAAAAATTTTCTCTTTAAAAGGAGAAAACTGAACGGTTGTAAAAATTTTATAAAATATAAATTATATATAATTTTATAAAATATACAATACGATACAATTTAAGCAAACAAAGAATAATAATTTCCATTATTTTTAGATATGACAAAAGATCGAATGTCTTAAAAACATTTCGGTTTTATAGCCAGCGGTGCATAGTTACTCAACCAATAATGGTAGAAATTTTTCAGAAGACGAAAATAAGTGGAAAATATTTTAGAAATTTTTTTATACAAAAAAAAGAGAATTTTCATATTTATATTTTTATATATGAAATTAATAAAAAAGAATTATTAAAATTTTTATGAAAAAAAACAAAATTTTTCCAAGGATTTTCGTAAATCAACAAAAAAAAACGCCGAATTTCAGTTAAATATTTATGTGAATAACCTCAAATAATTCATAATTATATGCCTACGATAAATATAAATATATTTTGCGTATTTTAATAAATCAGAGAACTGAATGGGATAATATGAGAGCTTTGGTGGATAGAAAGTTCGATTCAAGTTCGAGCTCAAGTTCTTACGAATTCATGTCGTTTTTGCTTTTCTTCCTTTAGCCTTTATTCTTTTTTTTTTTAATTTAATTCACCTTTATTTAGTATTGTTTGAATGAATTTTTCATAAATTTTTTAATTTTTTTTTTTTCAGATTTCTTGTTAATTCGAAAAAAAAATTTTTTATAGGTTTTTTTAAAGAAATTTATGAAATTTATGTATAATAAATTATATATTTTTCCTATAGATGAATAATTTTGAAAATTTTTCCAATTTTTCTTTTTCATTTCTTAAAGTAATAATTCATTTTTTGAGTAATTTAAATGAATCGAAGAGAAAATAAATGATAGAAATATGATAGAAATGATAGAACAAAAAATTTTTTTGCACTGCAAATTTCATTCATTCATTTAAATTTTCATATATATATTTTTTTCTCCTTTTTTAAAAGTCACCAATTTACTAATGAAATTGGAAAATTTGAACTTTTTTTTTTTCTTTTCATTCTTTGTATTTTTCGAAGAAAACTTATTTGCAGCGATAAAATGGTTAATAAGAAAGAAATTTCAAATCATTTCTTTCCAGTATTACAGTAAAATCACTGTCATATAAAGTCGCATAGAGTTGTCGTCTATTACAACAACGAAAAAAAAAGAAGACAAACGAAAAGTTTTATAGAGATATCTTATGGAAAAGTTTCATGGAATTGGCTAATTTCTCGATAATTGTAAAAAAAATATCCATCGGCCTATTAGATTTCTTAATAATTACGAGTACATCAGCTTTGGACAAGCATGCCAGAGAGTCTCTTTGCGATAGAAGCACAGATACCATTATCATCCAGAATTCCTGAATCTTTAAAGAAGTTTACTTCCGCCGGAATAAAATCTCAACGCTTCGAATTGAGATTGAGCAAAAACCCACTCGATTTCTATAGATTCATTTGATTTCGCTTATCAAATATCTGATATCTTTTTAATTCTAAAACCATTTTTAGATAGATTTTGAAATAGATTTAAATAAAACATAGATTTAGATTTTAATAATTAATTTTTAATTTTAATTCAAGATCGTCAATAAATAAAACATTTAATATTTGCATTAAAATACTTATATTATATTTTTATATTGTATTCATTACAATTTATGGAAATTTTTTGAAATGATAATAGTTTAACCGATATATTATTTTTGCTAAAGACAAATAGGTTTATATGTCTAATTTCTATAACTGTATTTTATTAGAAATATGCCTCTAGGCTAACAAAATTCCGGCTGGCCAAAATCAGAAGTAGTAGCTATTAGAAGTAGAAGAATAATTTTTCAAAAATCCATTGACGAAGTGAAGTATTTAGGTTATCCTCCCAAATAAGAGATATTTCGGTTTAGTTATAGATAGATTCGAGGAATTTTTCTGCATATTAGGTCAATAAAAAATTCCTATGGCATAATTTAGCGAAAAATTTAAGTTGAAGAGACTTTTCGAATTTAATTAGATTATTAATTTTATGATATTTTTATTTTTAATTTTTATTTCAAAGCTATAGGCAATTATTTTCAATAAGTTGAAATTTATATGAATTTGCTGAATCTACAAACTACATTCTAAATAGGTTTCAATTCAATTCAAATTCAAAAGAATCATACAAAATTTCAATTTTCATGCATTAAGTTGCATAAAAAAAGTGAAAATTTATTTATTTCCTTTTTCACTAAAGGGGATAATTTTTTGAATAACAAAAAAATCTTCATTAATTCAGATATTGCATAGAACAAATTAAATTTTCTCTTGAATGATGATTAAGTGATTAGGGTTTTATCATTTTATCATTTTTTCATGATTTTAGGATAATATTAGAAAATAAGAAAATAAGAAAAAGATAAAAATTAAATGATTGAAAATCGATGAAAATCTATTCAAATTAAAGGAAATAAATAAATTTCAACGCTAACACGAAATTTTCACGAATTGGAAAATTGGAACTTAAAAAATAATTTTTAAAATTTTTATCAAAATATTTTTTATCTTCCATTATAATATTTTCTTGAAATCCATAAAGATTATTTATAAACGCTTAGCTAATAACGCTAAAATTTGATTTGGTTTGATCTTTGGCTTGATAAGCCAATAAGTTGAGGCCTAATTTAAAACAATTAATATAAATGCAAGAAATCAAAAGAATTTTCCTTTTTTTTTTTCTTCAAAGGAAAATTTCAAAAGAAATATAATAATTTGGCTAATAGGCTAAAATAAATTACTGTTAAATGAATATTTAGATTTTACAGTTCAAATTTTTTTCAGTAATAAATCATTTGCAGTGAAGTTTTTTCATGAGTATTAGAGCATGTCATTAGTTTCTGTCGCATTCAATTTTATTGCTTTGAACAAGTTTTGACTTTGGCTTACTTATAAAGTAATTATTACATCTGAAAAATATACCTTTTTGAATGAATGTTTTATTAATTGGAAAATAAAGAACTATTATTGAAAATTTAAATTCAAAAAATTTTTCTCGTTAAAAAAAATTAAATCTAAAATATTTAATTTTTTGCTTTTTTCTCTCAAAAAATTGTTTATAAAGATTTATAATTTCTGGATGAACAATTTGTCTGTTTCTGGAAGAGCGCCTATCGTTGCTCTTTATTATGGATTTATAATTGCTGCAATCGTTCTTTTAACGTCATTAGAATTTTAGAAATTATTTTTCACGGGATTAGTTGAATCTCGTGGAATATTTCTATCGCTTGATATATTTATCTAGTGCAATAAGCCAGCGAAGCGAGTTTAACCAGTAATGGTACTTAAAAAAAAAGCAAACAATACAACCAGCTAAAAATTAGAAATAGGTCGATTTACTAGCAAAAAAAGATAATCTTATGAAAATTTCTTTTTTTCTATTTCTTATAAATTTCTAAATATTCCTTTAATCTGATATGGTATTTAAGCAATTCAATATATTTTATCAGTTTATGTATGAGTTTTGATATATTATTTGCTTGCAAAAATCTTATCAAATTTAGAAAGAACACGAAAAAAAAAATTTTTATGCATAGAAAAATTAAATATTTATAAGAGCCATTTTTTTTTTCTTGGCAAAATTTATTTGATCCAATGAGTCAATTTGATAAGATTTACCAGCCTAATCAGAAATAGTTAAGAGGAAAAAACCTAAGAGCTCAGCGATTTCGCTATAATCACATGTGATAATAAACTAATTTCTTTGTTTTTTCTTTTTTAATTTCGATTTTTATTAAATACAATGAAAAATAGGAACAACAAAAAAAAATGTTTTTTTTCCAAAGAACTTTTGCTGATTTTACTCGGTTGACTAATCGGATCAGATAAAAATTTTTATCACTTAGCGATAATAATACAAAGACAAAATCGTACAGATTTTTGAAAGATTTATCTATTCTTGCAATAATGTCGCTCGCAAAAATCAAAGCAAAAACCCACTAAAATATTTTTATTTCAATGATTTTCTATAGATTAGTTTTTGCTAATCTAAATTTTGTGAATTTTTAAAATTATTCTTATAAAAAAGGAAAAATTTCAAATATTTTATCGCTTATTTCATTCATTTTTAATCGTTTATAAATTAAATTTTTTTTTTTTTTGCTTAAATAAAATAAATATAAAATAGAATGAAAACGAAAAAAAAAGAGGAAAATTTTCAGAAAAATGAAAAATCTATTTGTATCATTATTAATTTTAATAATTTTAATAATTTATCTTATAAATTCGATAAATTGTGGATTTAAAAAAAATCGACAACGAATTAGGCGTAAAGAAAAGACGATTCTCAGGATTCAATATAAACATAGTTATCATTCTTTCGTTTTTTTTTTTCGTTTAAATATATCTAAATACTAATTTAATATATAAATTTTTAAATTTTTAAATTTTTAAATGTTTATAAAAAAAAAAATTATGGAAAAATAATATGTAATTAGTACTCATATATGTGCAAAAAGAAAAAATTAAAGATGAAAATATTTTAAGTATTTCAAGTATTTCAATTTTAATTTGAACATAAAAAAACTCCATTAAAAAGTAGAAAATTTAGCAAAAATTATAAATAATAATTATGAAAATAAAATTTGCACATTAATACTAATTAATACTAAAAATAATAATAGCAATAATAATAATATTAAATAATAATGCTAATAAAAAAGAAGTAATTATAATATTATACTAAATAATAAATAATAATATATTAAATAATATTATACATGTTAATATAATTAATAAATAAATAAATAATTAGTTAATGTAATTATATTATTAACGAAAAATTAATTTCAACCGCCAAATGAAAGAAAAAGCCAAAACAATTATTTATTTTTTTGTAAAAAAAACTAAAATGTGAAAATAATAATTGCAATTGTTTTCTAAAAAAAAAGTTATTCTATTATTGCAAGTATTTATTTCAGTGTTATTATCTTGCTTAGTACCAACGAGATGTCACGGAAAAATAGTACGAGAGCTAATCGAAAAAGAACCAATTTCAAAATGCACTGGAATTGATTATAGTCAAATGATCACATGTATCGAAAAAAGTATTAATTATTTATCTATTTTTCATTTTTAAATTTTATGACAATAAAATTAATAATAATAATAGTAATAATAATAATAACAATAATAGTGGTAATAATAATAATAGTGACAATATTATTATTATAAATTATGAACAAAATATACATAAAATTGTGAACGATAAAAATATATAAAATAATATTTTTAATATTTTTATATATTATATATTTAAATATTTAAAAATATTATTTCATATAGCTCTGAAAAACTTACCTGTCCTACCTTAAATATGAGAGTGTCGCATTAATGGAGTCCGATCAGTTCTGATCTATTGCTCAGTTTAAAAAAAAGAACTAAGATCCTATGCACAAACCCCCAATATTTCATACCTCTGATAGAAGACCTCAGGTTGTGGACGATCCTTATCATCCACGGAGCACGAAAAAGTGGTAGCGGTTTTTTCTTTTTAAAAAATATAAAAATATAAAATATAAAACTTCGCTATAAAATTTTTGAATTTATATGAAAAATACAAAAATACAAAAAGAAAAAACAAAATTAGAACGATTCGAACGCCTCAAGCCTTACTTATATTTTTTAGGCCTTTTTATTTTCCCTCTCTTAATATATTTTTAAGACTTAAGGCCTTAAATAATTTAAAGCATCGCAATTTTGCAGTCTTCTTAGAGGAGTTTTTTAATTTTTTTATTTTTTTATTTATTATCGATATTTATAAAAAATAAAGTAAAATTTTTTTTAATTTATTTTTTATTTATTACTTTTTTATTTTTAATAATCAAAAAATTTCTTCAAAAAAAATATACCATTTATTATTTATTTATATTCTTCTTTTTTTTTTTTTTTTCATTTTTCAGGTTTATATGAAAATTTTCAAGCACCATATAAAATCGTTATAATTGGTGATGTTTGTTGCCCAATGAAAGGTGCTACTCGTTGGTGTAGAAATGCATGTAAATCAGCAATGTACGCACCAACATTGGATATTAACGAAAAACAAAAACGTCTCGATTATTTTTGCTCAATAGAATTTGATTCGAATTTGGTAATTCGATAAATTTTTTAGATATTTTTTTAATATCAAATAAATAAAATATAGAAACGTTTTGTTTTTATTTTCAATATAATTTTTAAGTTGATAAGCTTATCAGTAAAGGAAAGAAAATGGTAAATGCCTTCAGGCTGATAATCACTAAACAATAATCATTCGGCTTAATCACATAAGAATTCATTTACTTATTTAGTGGTGTCGTTTCAAAGCATTAAAAATTTCTCATAATTCATTCTTTTAAAGTTTTTGAATCAATAAATTGTTTTTGCAAATGCGCTAATTTTTCATTGATTTCTTTTCGTCTTTTAACAACTCGCATCATTACTGATTAGATTAGTTCCATTGGTTACTGATAAAAATTAGGATATCGCTGATCTATTATCATATCTGATAGGAAAACCAAATAAATTCTTTTTGTAGAAACTGATTGAATGCGTACAAACTATCATCGAATTTGTGCAAAATTCAACAACAAAAACAACAACTGAAAGTTTACCTTGAAGGTTTAAATTTTATAAAAATTTTTTAATTATTTTTTATTTTTACATTTTTATTTTATTTTTACAATTTTAATTTTCTATAATTTTTTCTTATTTATATTAAAAACAAAAAATCTATAATAATAATAATAATAATTTAAATTGATTGTTGATTTTATACAATTATATAAAATTTTATCGATCATAATTATAATGATTTTTTATAATATATAATATTCTTTTTTTTTTTTATTTTCGATCTAAATCGCATGGAACTTATTATCGTCGATTGCAATTGACTATATTATTTTAAATTAGGTTAGAATAAAATAAAAGTGAACCAACAAAAAAAAAGAGAATGATAAGCGCATTAAAAAAAAATATCATTTCAAATTTTCTAAAAAGTATAAAAAATTAAAATATAAAAAATTAAAATTATAAAATATAAAAAATTTTTATATTTTATATTTCTATATTTTAAAATTTTTTTATATATAAATTTGGTTATAACCACTAAAAAAAAATTTTTTCTTATTTTCAGAATATTGTTTATCGAAGCAAAAAAAAAAGCCAAACATACAAGCAAATTTGTTGTTCAATTCGATTCAAAGCAAGTTTATTATCTTATCGAAATTATTCCGTTTAAAAAAAAAAAACAAAAATTTCTAAAATGCAATATAATCAAATCGATTATAATTTCTATAAAAAAAAATAAAAATGATAAAAATGATAAAAGTGATAGCCATTTTTTTTCGATAAATTATACAAAAACAAATAACAAATAATTCGAAATATTTTTCAAACAAAAAAGAAAATGGGTGAAGGTGAACAATTTCATAAATTCATATGAATTTTATGGAATTTCTATACGAGACTATATGAACCTTTAAAACTTCACTCCGAATGATAAGTTGATAAGTTTATTCTTATCAATGAATCTAAAATATTCTACTTTCGTTCTCAAATATTAATTGACATCTCTGCGAATGGCGTATTGCAGATCGGTAAAAAGTGCTGCCATTTTAACGAGAAATCTTGAAACCAGCAAAAAAAAATACTTTACTATGCGCCATAAATTCTCGCCTTCTATTCGAATAATACGTAGATAAATATAATTTTATATTATTAAATTTTATTTGCTTCAAGAAATATGCGACATAAATTTGTAGTTCTCATCAATATTTTCTTCTTTTGCAATTTATTCGCATTAATTTTTATGCAAATTATGAATAATTTGCTGAAAAAAATAAATAGACTATACATTATATCGATAATTCACCAAAATCTCAACAATAATACAAAAAAGAATTTATGGGCTTTAAAAAAACTTTAAAAGGACTTTAAAAAATAAAAATAAATGCCTCTGAGCGAACAAAAAAAAAACATTTAAAAAAAATTAGCCTAATGTAAATTTTTTATAGAGGCCCAATTAACTACTGACTGCGATCAGTGGAATTAATGAATCAATAACATATAAAATAATAACAGAATAATAAATAATTATTTGACAAATATAGATAAATATAGATAACGAATAATGAACAATATAAAGAAGAGCAATTTTTATCAAAACTTGATTAATTTATTTAATTTAATTTAATTATTGGGCAATAACGGTTCTACATAATAACTACAAAATTCTGATTTATTAAACATGGAAAAAAAAGGAGAAATATAGAATCAATAAAAAATTTTTAATATTTTAAAATTAATTTAAAAGATAAAAAACAAATTCATCACCAGAATAAAGAAATTTTTTTACCTTATTTATAAGAAAATTAAGATTGCACTGATATTATCTTAATTTAGTGATCCATGAAATATTATATTCCATAACTGATAAAAATTGTGCTAGTGAAATAAAATTTTTATGCAATCTTTTTTATATTATTATATCCTATTATTAACATAATTTTTTAAACAAAAATTTACAATAGTGAAAAAATAAAATAGCAATATTAAAAAAACCAACAGTAAAATTGATAAATCTTTGAAAATGAACAACAATCTCTACAATATTTTCCATAATCAGCTCCTTATATCACCAAAAATGTAACAAATTATTCTGTCAATCATGAAGCACGCCATCAGATCAGTTATAATACAGATGCATAAAACGGAACGAAGCTGAAAATTTCATGAAAATAAGATAAGAAATGATAAGATATTTTTTCATGAAATCTTTTCAAATTTCAAAATGATCTTATTCATTCGAATAATCTGATAAATAAAACTGAAAAGCGAATGGTGAATCGAAAAAAAAAATTTACAGAAAATTTACAGAACATAAATATTGGGAGATAAAATGACTAAGGAGATCATTAGTCTCATTTCGGATAGCCGAGCTTCTTATCCTAGTTTAAACGTATTTTCAAAAATCTAGATGGTGCAGGTGACACAAATATATTCGTCACGTAATTTTCTGATAAAATTTTACAAGCAAGCGCAGTAAGAATAATTGCAAATGATGAGCATGAGCATTATAATAATTTAGAAGAAAAATATTACAATAAATTAAGGAAAAAAACTAGTCAAATGAAATTCAAAGAAAATAGAATTGCAAAATAACCTCATAAGACAAATCAACAAGATCGAATTTTTCGTTTAAGTCTTTGAACATCCCAGACACTAAAGCAAATATGGCAGTTGCTGAAGTGAGAAGACTATATAACATTGGCTTATTCTCGATAAGACTTTCCATAAAAGGCCGACCCTAAATAATAAATGATAAAAATTTTTAAATTCAAATAATAAGTATTCGTATCAATTTCAGATAAAAAGGTATTCTTTCCGCTAATATAATTAATTAAACATTAATTAAAACATTAACATTAAGAAAAATCCTAAAAACTAACTCTGTAATTAACGGCAAATGTTGAAACCTGAAGAGCCATTGCCATTATGTATACCGCAGAATTTAAAATATTCGGTTTAAACTCGGATTCAATATCAACATTCGTGCTGAAATTTGGTGAATTCCAATATTATATCATTAATTGAATCTATATTAATAAATTATATAAATAACAAATATTTACTGATAAAATTCAACGATATCAGCAAAATAATGAGTTCAGAAAATTCAGAAAATTCTCACCGTGGTTCAGCACTTTTAGCTTCCTGAACGATGTATAATAAACATCCGAAATGTGCAGCAAATTGAAGCGAAACTGTTAACAAAGTATAAGCATTAAAAATGTTTGGAATCGGTCTTTGCTTTGCTAGCGTCTCCAAAGGCTGTAAATAAAAAATATGTTTAAGAAAGAAGGAAAATTAAACCCAAAAAAAAGCGTTTGATCACCTAATATAAAATGCTGCGACTGTAAAAATTTATATTTTAGATTATAAAAAAGCAAAATTTAATTATTCATCATTTTATATTTGATTTTATAATGATCACCCTTGATCGAGAGATAAACAAGAAACACGCTGCTAGGAGTAATCCTTGAACAGTTGCTTGTCCGTCAGAAAATTTAATACCATCAAGATACAAAACGCTCTGACTGTACGCCAAGACAAGTGCATTCAGTGCCAAAATTTTAAACATTTGCAGAGTTGTAACTAAGGTACAGCGACCTTGCTTGATAACATGACAAACTGCAACAATCGATATAAAAAACTTTTTTGATAATTCCGTAAATTCTTTTTGAAGAAAAAAGATTCGATAATGAGAAAATAATAATTTACTAGACTGAATGGAAGTGTATTTTGATGTGAATGGTGCGGCAATAGAAGCATCACCCAACTTCACAATCTGCGCTTTTTCTTCATCTTCCATTTCTTTAACCATTTGTTCAAGTCGTTTTACAGCAGTGTTCGACGGATAGTGCCTACAGTACCAAGAATGGTTTGTTATTATTTTTTTTGATTAGCCATTCTAAAATAAGAATTTCCTACAACAGTGAAAATAAACTGGTAATAATAGTCAATTGTTTAGACGACAAAAGAGCCATGTATATTTCTTCGTGTAATTTCCAGGTATCTATGTGAATATTTCAAAATTTCGAAATTAATGAAGATAGCACTATCCAAAAATAAATCCTTCAAAACTACCTAGATTGCCTAGCACCAACAGGTGCATCAGTTCTTCGCCCAGTTTGTTGGCTAAAAAATTTTTTCGAATTAGGTGTAGTGGTTGCAGATAATGGCTGTATGGCTGATGAATTTAAACGAATAGCTTCTGGATCTGATTGTTCCTTTTTCTGTTTCTCTGAAGTTTTCGTCGTATTATGAGGATGAGATAGTAATGCAACGCCTGAAAAAAACGATGAACCATATAAAAGGACCAGAAAAAAAAAGCGAAACATTAGTGCCTAAAAGTGAAAATTATTAAAAAGAAAAAAGTGGAGAAAATTTTAAGAACAAATTAACAACTGTTAAAGTTTTTAATGTGATCGGTGTCGGTGTAAACAACTGTCGCGAAAAATTGTTATTTGTCAAAAATTGTCAAGAAAACATCTAGGTAAGACATACCAACATCAGCATGTTTCAATGCACCGACATCGTTTGTACCATCACCACACATTAATGTTATAAAGCCAAGTTGTTTCAGTTCATTGATAATGCGTTCCTTGAAACGAAAAATGTTAAAAATCTATAAAGTCATTTTGTTTCCCTAATATTGCTGGCTTAATCTCTAAAAAAATAAATCTCGAAGTTACGAAAGATTTTAAATATGTAAATTAAATTCGCTATAAAATATTAAAAATAACTTTCAAATAAATTTAAAAAAAAACCTTTTGCTTTGGCGCCATTCGTGCAAAAACTTTAATATGAGGCAAAAATTTCCTCAAAAGACTAATATTGTTATCTAACAAATGAGCAAATCCCTGTAAAATGATATAATTGTAAATAAAGACATTGAAAAACAAATAATAATATTAATTAAAAATAGACAACATAAAAAACATACAGAACCAGTAATGCAAAGTTCATGTCGAGATATAAATTCATCCAAATCAGCATTAGACCTTGGTGCTAGATTATATACCATATCACAATCAATAAACTTCCACATCCATATGTTTTCAGACTCTGAAACAGTACCAATAAGTGAATGGAAAATGAAAACAATGCACTCTGAAGATAAAAACAAACATAGAAAAAGCCTTACCAGCCGGTTCATCCAAAACTAAAATTGGTAATTTCCTAGTAAAGCGTAAGACTTTTGCAACATGACAAGCAGTCAGTGGATTATCACCAGTGATTATAACTACTTTGTGAGAAGAATCAATGATTTCCTTCATCATAACCTTGGTATCGGGTTTCAGTGGGCAAGAAATAACGACAAACCCAACAAATTTGAGTTCTTTTTCAAAATCTTCGCGAGCACCAGTGCGAATCTAAAATATTTAATTGAAAAAAAAATATCCAAAATATCTGAACTAAATGGATCGAAAATCTAGAATACCTCTTGATAAGACAGAGTACCAACTTCTTTAATACCAAGTGCAAGCACTCGTGCTCCACGTAATGTTAAATTTCGATAGATCTTATCATAATTAGCTGGAATTTCCGAATACTGAAAAAACAAAAATTATTAATTTACTGACAAAAAAATAAAAATATTTCTTTTCTCTTCAAACGGCATATATTACTTTTGCTATAGCAGGGTTATTCAAGGTTACTTAAAGACACAGGTTTACATCATTTATTCATCGTAACAATCTTTTGACATTCGAGAAAAAGGCCTACCATTTCCTTAATGGTTTCAGGAGCTCCTTTTACAAGAATAATATGTTTCGTTTCGCTTGTTCCTGGTACCATATATCCAGCGATAACTGTCATTCTCTTTAGTACAGATGAAAAATGGTAACGATGAAAGATTTTGAGAGGTAGCATTTTCGATTTTCTTGGTATAACTGTATCATCTGCAATATTTCAACAGTTAAAAATTTCTATTTATAGAATTGTTTACGAATCATTGAATTGTGATGAAATTAGGTAAAAATTTCACTTTTGGTAACATTCCATTCAGCCCAGTTGAGACAAGCTTTTTCCAGAGGATCCCCAACAAGATCTTCATCGAAACGCACTAAACTGTGGCATGCCACCATTACTTGCAATGCTTCAGATGGTGCCTCAGAAGCAGATTTAATAATAAAAGGACAGTCATCAGTCGTATTTTGACTGGCAGGTGCTATTCCTGAAATTTTTGAAAAAATAAAAAAAATTCGATTTTATACAAATTGTCATATATATATTAAATGTTAAATTTAAATCAACTTAAACTTAAATACGACTAAATTTAACGTAAATTTTCCAAAAAACTTCATTATGATTAAATGATTGAATGAAATGGCAAAACCACCTTCGACAATCAGATTATCCATTGTTAATGTTCCCGTTTTATCAAAACAACAAATATCAATTTTACCAGCAAAAGGAATACGAAAAGGTTCTGTGCAAAAAACACCTGAAATATCCTTGCACATTTATATTTTAATTATAATTATGATAATAATTACAATTTTTATTTTTTTCGAAAATTAATGAATCATTCAGAGCCAGTAAATGCAAACCAAGTTTTTGCAATGCCAATAATGAATTATTCACAGCCAGTGACAATTCAATTGGTAGTTCAGGAGGAATAACGCTAGTAAGTATTAAGGAACATTCCAGAAACAGTTTATATTTGTTGCGCGATTCATTTTCATTACCTCAAATATGGTGAATTATAAATCAGAAAAATTTAGTAAGTTGATGGAAAAAATCGATCAGAATCAAAGGTAACGAATCAAATATTACTTAAGCAGGAAAAAAATAAGAACGAAACTGAAGAGATTTCGAAAAGCCCGAAAAAAATCATAATTGCCAGAAAATGAACATTACCTTTAATCCATAAATAAGATGCAGCAGCAATAGCAAAAACAAGTAAAAACATGATGAAAGCGAATGTTTCTAAATTATTTGCTGTCACTCTTTTCACGCCAAACATAATTGTTCGTAACAGCCTGCCTTGGCTAGTATTGAAACCAGTTCTTAATACATAACAAATACATCCACCATCAGGCGCTTTCATTCCAGCCTCATTCTTTGCTAAATCAAATTCACGTTTGGAAAACAGGAAAACAGCTTGAATAAATTAAAAATCATCGAAAACAATTTTGGACATTTGAAAACAAAAAAAACGATAAAAAACCTGGAGATGTATGCTGAACGATTTTAGTCCCACCAAAAATAACATGAAGCCTATTATCAGAATCGAAGTCGAAATAGCGATTCTTTTCCAAATCTTCGATTGGTTCCTAATTTATACAAACTATTAAACAAATAAAAAAATGATTACCTGATAATTTTGAAAAAAAACATAAAAAAATTTTAAAAAAATCAAGGGAAACTTTCTAATATATCTTAAAATAATTCAAGAATAAACCTTCATCTGCGGAACACTTTCTCCAGTGAGCAGAGATTCGTCAACAATACATGGACCTCGTAACAACAAAAGATCGCAAGGTATTGCTCTTTCTTCTGGTGAACGGCCTAAAATGTACCATATAATATACTCTCCAAAACTGTTTCAGAAAAAGAAAAATTCATTTTCATAGGGTAACAACAAATTTTCATTGTGATAAAGCCACCTAATAAAGTGGTGGAAGAAAATGATATCACTATAGTGAAGAAAAACAAATCAAACTTATATTTTTATAGCAGTAAGGCAGCGAAGGAAGAAGTACAACTATAGAAACAAAAAATAGTCAGTAGAGTGAATTATCCACGAAAAGGAACAATGAGAAGATGTACATGGAAAATGTGGAAGAGGAGAAGCGAAAAAAGACAGAAAAGTGAAATTACCAATTTTTCGTAACTTTCTTGTTATAGACCAAACCAATCAACCAATAGACATCAAATTTTTCATTATATTCTATATTTCTAGGTGTGACCTTTTAAAGAAAATGAACTTACCCACAGAAACAATATCACCAGGCAGCAATTCATCAGTTTTTATACGATTCCAACGCTTATTTCGATATACGTAAATTTGATAAGGTTTATTCCCCATATTCCGTATTTCTGACATATTTCTCAGCTGTTGTTTGACCAATGTTGCTTCAAATGTCATAAGCATCAGCAAAGTGAATAATGAATAATACCACATATCTTCTAGACACCATAAACCGACACAAAATATCTATAAAAATAAAGACATTCGAATATGGAAAATCTTTAAAAACAATATAATATATATCTAAAACAAGTCGGTATCAAATTTATAAACTGAATGAAATACCGTTAAATTAATGTAATTGAACTTACTTGGAATACAAAGAAAGGAGCTGTTGCGCGTTCTTTGAATAATTCCATAAATTTTGGAATTACCATTTCCATACTGAAAAGCCATAAAATCGTTAAGCGTATATAATAATCGATAATGGAAAGATACTTCAAAATAATACCATCGAAATAAAATACAATCAAATATAAGTAATAAGAGTAGGAAAATAAGTATAGTATAAGACGGATGAAAATCTTACTGGTTATCACCCAAATTTTGCTTTGTTTCTAATATGACCTCATCAGTTTCCAGACCTTTTGACTGTTGGAAATACGACATTGGCTGATTCGTGTCAAGTTCGAGTGCTTTAAATAATTTCTTATCCTGATCGAAGGTATAATGAACTTTTTGAAATTCGAACCACAATTTTGTTTCACCATTCAATAACTAAAAAATAATGGGATTTAAAACTAATTTTTAAGCCTCTTCAGTGAACATTGCAAAAATTAATGCAATAAGCCAAGGCGATTTTGATTCTAAATTATTTTCCTTATTCTATTATATAAGAAATATTATTTTTTATACAGGAAATATAAGAAATATTAAATAAAATAATAAAATACCTTTGATCTCTGTAAAGGAATGATTTCCGACCATCCATTGTTACGAGTTGGTACAACTTTTATTATAGTTGCTTTGTTAATATCGCTTTGCTGAAATAATAATATGAAATAACAGAGAGTGATTGGCCTAATTGAATTATAATCGCCTAGTGAACAATAGTTTAATCAGTTACGCAACAATGAAATTTAAATTCTTCTCGCAAAACTTTGGAAAGGACGTGTTAATTAAATCGTTAATTAAATATTATAAATAAAACGAATATAATAAAATTATTAAAATAAATTTCCACTGGAGATAAACTTCGACTTTTAAATAATAATGTTTCATTTCCAAAGTTTTAAAAATTTTATAAATAAAAATATACATAAGAACACGTGAAGAGGCAGTTCACATCCACAAACCAATGACAAAAAAGAATCGTTAGAACCTGAAATAAACTTATCTAGAATATGTTTTGCATATTAATAATATAACTCGTCCTATCATCAAGAACCATCTTCAAACCTAAATTAATATTAATTCAAAACATTAACTCAAAAATACATTCATATATTCTCAACAACAATCCTTTCAAACTCTACCATATTGATAAAAGTCATTGATAATCTTCTTAAAATATTTCTTCTCTACTCTTGAACTCTCCCACTATATTCGCTCTTGCATTATTACATCTTGTAAAGTAAAGCTTGAGGAATGGTGGCGAAGTTACGAAGTTACAACCAGAGAACCAAAAGCATCAGAAAAGAATTAATAATAAACTATTAAGAGACTATTAACTATTATGAAAAAAAAAATGTAAGTAGTTTTGTTGATTTTCAAACGACATTTATGAGATTCCAATAAATTTTAAATAGATTTCAATAAGAAAATTATTTACAAAAATAAATTATTTAAATTCACTAAGCAAATTAAGCAAATAAAAATATTCATGAAAAATTCTGTGAGGGGAAATCGAAGGATTTCAATGCGACATTTTAAGACAATATAGCTTTTAGCAGCTAATAACTTTTTTCAATTTGAAACTTTAAAAAATTCTTACAAACCTGTAAAATGCCAATGACAGCGATAATTATACAACCAAGTTCCCAATAGTCATCAAATCCATAATGAGATATCCATAAATAAATCCATATAATATATAAAGCAACAAATGGACCGATATATGCATGAATGAGAATATTTCTCCTATTATATGGCGTACAGGATTCAATCAATTGATCCACTGCCATTGTTGCCAAATTTCTTTCCCTATAATAAAACAATTAGTAATAAATCGTTGAATGAAAAATACTATTATGGAGCTCATAAAACTAAAAAGTGGATTCCAGTAAAAATTCCACCTTATCAACAATTATTTATCAACGGCTAGCAACGAATCAATTAATTAATGAAGAGAAGACTGATAAGACAATTTTCATCAGAGCTTAGAGAGATGCGCTAAAATTTAGTGGTAGTGAGTGAGTGCATCAAAAACCAAATCAATTGAGAATATTACGCATAAAACAATAGAACCTATAAAAATGCGAAAAAGAAAAAGATTTCTGATAACAATGATAGCTGCTCAATAAATATGACAAAAGCGAAATCCAACAAAAAAATGAAAGGCCAACTGAATCCAAAAGTAGCATTTTGCATTGGCAGTTTCATTGGCGATACGTTAAAAATCTGGCGAACTTATTGCCTAAAGCAGAACGTAAATCTGACTGACTTATATCAAATATCAACTGATCATCATAAATCTCCCCAACCAACTAAATATTGGAAAAAAAAAAACACAACGATAACGAAAATCCCTATATATACAAGACGAATCGTAAGCAAACAATCCATTTAAGACCGAAGATATTTTAAATACTTCTTGATATACAGCTTAGATTCTTCTAAGATTAAATGGGAGATTCCTCAGAAAATCGTTGAGAATAATTGATAAAAAGTGTTGAGTATCGACTCGTTAGACTCGCTCCTCTCGTTTGTCAGACTGGACAAATATGGCAGGAAATGTCTTGGCGATAGAGAGATACAAATAATACTCGCTAGTACTCAGATTTTTGTACAGATGTAAATCTACCGCGAGTGGAACTTTAGCACTCCAAGTTAAGCAACAGTCTACTGAGCAATTCTACGTTCTATTGCTTTCTCTTTATTAGGTGTCACCTGAAAATGGTGACAATTCTGGCGGATTCGAGCCTAAACCTGGATAACCTATCAGTGGTAATAATCTTGCCATTAAATTAAGTAGAATATTAAAAAATGCAAGTGGTAATGGTGTTGAATTCGTATATATTTCTGACTTTCTTTCACAAAATTATAGTACCATAAACTAGAGGAATGAACCAAAAATGGTTAACCATTTAAATATTTTCTCAAAACTCTCTTCCCGTAAATATTATTTCATTCTTGCATTCTTTCGCAATATCCCATCATTATCATTTTATCATTTTATTATTATCATTTTTATCATAAATTTCCTTATATATTCTAAATCACTTAAATACCATAAAAGTTCTTTCTTCAGAATTTATTTTATATTTCAAACCTTTAAATCTCCTCAGTTCTCTTCAAAGCTCTGCAACATCCTTTTGTTGAAATCCTCCTATAATATTTTTTAATTGATTAAATTGATTTACATTATATCAACTCCATGAAATTATATTATGGCGATATTGACTCTCTTAATTTCTCTTAATATGCGTATTCTGTGGAAGACACTTTAAAACATACTTTTAATACTTTTAGCTATTTATTTCCATTTCTAAACTTCCAAAATTCGCTATAGTACCACCCAATCTATTTTGTTTTGCTTCGCGTATACTTGGCTTAAATTTCACAATTGCAAGTTATAAATTGCAGTAAAAAAAAATGAATCAGGCGATCAGAGGAGCATTAATTATGGCAAGACTGAGGAAGAATTATAGAAGAATAAAGAAGAATAGCGTAATCAAAATATTGCACTTCCCGAATTTAAATGGGTATTATAATATTAAAATAATAATAATGTATAATATATAATATTAAGTGAATATATAATATTAAAATAATAAGTAATTTTAGCAAATAAAAATAGATCAAAAGATTTTAATTGAAACGATTTGAGAAGATTTTTATTTTGTTATATGAAATTTTTTTAGAATTTATTTGTTCTTAACTTCAATATTCAAAAAGAGAAATATTCACTTATCACGAAGAAAAGATAAATGATAACAATTATTTTCGTAAAGAAAAAAATTCTTAGGAAAATTCGCATTTTGATTGTAAAAATTTTTATGATAAAAAAACGATTTAATATAGAAATTTTTTTTAAAAAATATAATTATTTCTTATCAGACTTTTTAGATTCATATGGGAGATTTGTAGATTTGTTGAAATAGAAAAATTTTAAAAAATCACTATAGCGATACAGATCAGCACTCTCTTCGATTCTTCAAAATTACGAAGGTAGATTTCTGGCAGATGCGATGAGCCAAATTATCGGCATTCTGAAATGTACAACAATCCATAATGCCATTCAATCTTTTTATTTTGCATTTGTTTGAACCATTTGAACCATTTGAACAATCCTTATTTCTTTTTTTTGGAATTATTTTTTTTCCTTTGAAATTTATTATAATTTATTTTAAAATTATAATTTATTTTATTATAATTATTAGATCTTTAAAAAAAATTATGCATTTATTTACCCGATTAATATAAATTTTTTGTAATTTTTTAATATAATATATTTAAAAATATAAGTAATATAAAAATAAAATTTAAAAAAATTTATAAAAATAGAAATATTAAAAAAATTTATAATTATAAAAATAAAATTTGATTTAATAAAATTTGAGATAAATTTGAAATTTGAAAATAAAATTTGAATAAAATTTGAGATGGTATTACCTTAGCTATTTTCGGGTTTGCAAATCATTTGTACTTATATTACCAAATAACTTCCTAGTAAAATTCGCCTGATGCGATAAGCCAGCTAAATGAGTCCGACCGGAAACGGTGAGTGTGAGTGTTCTTAGGGAAAAAATTTTCACTATTATTATTCACTATTCACTATTATTATTAATAATGAGCTATTACTATTATAATTTTATATTTTAAGAGTCCTCACCATTACTTGTTAAACTCGCTCCGCTGGCTTGTGGCATTGGGCAATATGAGCAACAGCAGGGAGTCCCTTGTTGATAGAAATATAGATGAGTCGCGAGCATCACCAGGATTTTTGTACAGGTTTTCTCCTGCGGGGAATCGAACCTCAGCATCGGCGCTCCGAACTGAGCAACAACCCACTGAACAATTCTATCCCCACTATTATTGTTTATTTTAATATTTTTATTAATTTATATAATGCGATTAATATGATCTTTTTGCATGAAAACCTTTTATTAACTAAAGAAGCAAACAAGTAAAGCAACAAATTCCCCTGAGTAATAAATTAATAAATTAGTTTAAACTTTTTGGTGAAAGAATATTATATCGCAAAAATAACAATTTGAGGAAAGGAATATTAGATTCGATATTCACGAATAATTAATAATAATAATAATAAAATAAAACAATAACAAATAGTAATAATGATAATGATGAGATGATAATAACAATAATACTGATAATGAATGATGCGAATCAGTTGTCAATTATGAAGTATTATTTATTTAATTTGATAATCACCAATTCTTTTTTTCATGGAGCACTCACAATTTCTGATTAGGGATTAGGTCTGGCTAATTCCATTGCCTTTTCAAACCAGACAAACATCCATTTGATGATAGAAATATAGGTGTCACCAGGATTTTCCAAAAAACAAATTTATAACTAATAGAAAATCCCAGCATCGGCGCTTCGAAATGAGAACTATTCCTAATCAAATATTTTTTCTTATTTTATACAATTTTGCTCTTTAATATTCGCCAGAGATTTAATGAAAATTTCAAAGCAAAAATAAATAAAAATAAGAAATAAATCTTTGTGGAAAATTATATTATCAAAATAATAAAATTTTTCTTAAAATCCATATTTGTGAAAAATTTGCTATTTTTGTAATTGAATATTTCTAGCGATTTTTCTATTTTTTTATTTGAAAATAATTATTTTCTTTTTTTTCTTTCAAATATTTCTATAATTTATTTAAAACAATTAATAACGTTAATATTGATTAATTATTTATTTAAAAACATAAAAATTCGATTAATTTCAACAACCAATTCCTCTCATCTTTTTCATATTTTTGGCATATTTTTTAGCAATTTTATTTTTTTTTACGAATAAATTTACACTTTTACACTTTTATATCAAATATATTAAAGATATTCCATAAGGTTTGGATTTCCTCCATAAAAGGACGGCGTACAAATTTTCAAAATTCCGGACGGTGTCGGTGGAATGGGACGTGGATACGATATTTGCAGATCCTGAAATTATTATTAGATCACCGAATTAAATTGCAGAGGATCAGTAAATTAAAAAATTATGTAAAATAGTTTTCAGATGAAAAAAAAATTAAGAATTACTAAAAAAAATGAAAATTGAATTAGAATAAAAATTTAGTAAATAAGGTTTTATTTAAAATCGAACTGCATTACCTGATAAGTTCGAGGAATAGCCTTAATCATTTCCAGATTTGCAAATGAGACTTCTGATAAAACATCCAAATTCCCGGTATGTACATTATTTTTTTGTAGAGTAGGTGTTGAGAGATTATCAGCTGCATGCGTTTTAGGGCTGACTGCAAAAATTGATTTGATCAGAAAATTGCAATTATCACCCAAAATGATACCATCTAATAATGCAATTACGCAATAATTGGTGATAACTGATGAAGTATTCGCATCAAAATTACCAATAGTCGAATTTTCGATTGGTTGTATCTTGTTCGCCTCATGATTTATAGCTTTCTCAACGATAACTTCATCGCTTCCATGTTCTATAAAAGTTCATTTTCTTTGATTTATTTATCAGATATTCTTTATCTTGATCTTATCATTGTTTTCTACTTTTTTCCAAGAGCATTTATTTTTGATTAGGCATGATCAACTAAATGAATATTGGATTTGACCAATTTTGCCAGGGAAATAACTGGAGTGCTTAGAAATATAAATGGGTAATACCAGTATCATGTCGATTTTTAGAAAATAGACATGCTTTTGCCAGACTTACCAGAATATTATATGATATGAGAATAACAAAACATTGTGCTATTTTATCTCTTTTTATTAATTATTTTATAAGCAAAAATAAAATAAGTTATATCGATTTATCGAGCTTACTTGAATCTAATGAAGGAATTTGGAATTTTTCTAAGCTTTGCTTGAAATTTGTTGATTTATCCTCGAGCATATCATTTTCATTTTGAATTTCTGGATTTTTTTTAAGCCTCGCTTGGAATTCGTTTAAACTATAAATGAGATAAAATATCGAAAATATAACAGAATGATCAGATTAATTTTTTATATTCCTTTTAGATATCATTATCATCAAATTTCATTCTTATAGTATTAAATATTTTATTATAATTATTAGCGAAATATCATTCGAATGACTAAAAAAGCAGATAAATTTGATTCTTCTTCTTCTAACAGTTCTCACCATTACTGGTTAGGCTGGTTCCAACGGCTACAAGAGTAAGACGCTTCCAAGCGGCGCGATTTTTTCCATCGTTTAAGTCCATGTATTGCTAGTTCTACCTATACGTTCAAAATCTTTTCTGACCGTATCAGTCCAGGTCTTGATTGGCCCATCTCGCTTTTGACCTCATCCATCACAGAGCTTAGCAAATAACGAAATATGCGTCGACTCCTGTGCTGGACGATAGAGAACGTGACCTAACCAGCGATGGCGACGCTCTGTGATAATATTATCATAGCATTAATCATAACATTATTAATGCAAGTGATATTTGAACAAAAGTGGATGCGATCATGCGATAATTTATCCGCTCGACGAATCCGTACAAATTTGATAAAAATAAATGAAAAATAAAGGAAAAATGTATATGAAAATATGACGATTATATGTTGGTTTAATATGGCTGGCCATATATCCATCCACTGGCCATATAATGAGATTGGTAATTTTTGCTGTTTGGCATATATCCATTGGCTTTTCTTTGTTATCACCGTTTAAAAAAATTTTTCTATTGAAAAAATCTCAAAATTTCATATTCTTTCTTCATACTCTTCCTTTATAAATGATGATGATAATTCTTTGACAAATGATAATTCTTTGATAAATTTATAACCATTTTTTTTGCATAATTTAAGCAATTAGAACTTATTTATTAGAAACTTTTTTTAAAAGCTATTGCTGATTAGACTCGTTCCAGTGGCTTGTCATTCGGTAAAATGCCAGGGAGTCCTTTGGCGATAGAAACACAGATGAGTCACCAGTATCACTCAGATTTTTGGACAGATTTACTTCTGCGGAGAATAGAAACTCACTATCGGTGGTCGGAATTGAACAACAACCCACTGATCCATTCCATCTCAGGTAGATAATTATATTATTTGAAAATGATGAGGATTTTAGAATTTTTCTAGTGAGGAGATTAATAAATATTTATTGCAAATATATATTCAAATATTCAAAATATTCCAAAAAAAGTTCGATTATATTGAAAAAAAATTCTAAATTTAAAAATTTAAAAAATTATAAATCTAAATTTATTAATTTAAAAAATTTTTTAGTTCACATTTGCTATTTAAATTTATAAATATAATTTTAAATTTGCAAATATAATTGTTGCTATTTTAAGAATGTTTTAATTTCTTTTTTTAAATACCAATGGTCATAGACCAATCTCCCTTACGGCAACGGATTTAATTTAGTCGAGATTAAACGAGTATATAAGCCAGAGGCCTTGGAGATTGAGGGTTATGTGCAATAGTTTAACTATTCCTAGCAGTGTAGTGCAATCTCGAACAAAGATCTCTGTTCTGATATTATTCCTGGAATCCACTGAAGTGAATTTTTTAGTTCTATAGAATAATACTTATAATAAAATAAATAAAAAAATAATACTTATAATATAATAAATTAAAAAAAAATAAAGAATTAGTAAATAAATAAAAGAATCAAAAATTATAATTTTTAATAATTAAAAATAATATTAATACTAAAAATAATATTATATTAAATATAATTAAATATGACACTTATAATAAGTATAATTAAAAGTAATACTTATAATAAATATAATAAATATAATACTTATAATAAATAATATAATTAAAAAAATTTTTTTTTATTTTTTTTCTACGATTATTACTATTAAGAAATATTTTATTTATGAAATTACGGCTTTAAGTTTATATTATAAATATCTTATAAGGTTTATAGTTAAAAAATGGCAATTTGAACTAAAAATTATAAAAATATTTATGATAAATATTTGAATAATAAAATAGAAATTATGAAATGAGGTGGAATAATGATTATATATTGAAAATAAAATAAAATACTATGAATTGCTTGTGTTTCGAAATAAACTAAGCAATAAATAATCAGAAAGAAAAGAAAATATATATTGCAAATTTCCAAATTTCATATATCTCTCCTTATTTTCCTTATTTATCTATTAAAATTATTTTTATATTATAAATTTTTATATTATAAATTTTATATTTTATTTTTCTAAAATCTCTAAATTTTAGATCTCCAAATTTAATTTTTCTAAATTTTTCTAAAATTTTATATTTTATTTTTGATTAAATTCATTTCACTAGCTTATCGGTTCGAATAGATTTTTGTCAAGATGTTAATTACTTAATAATAGAAATATAGGGCCACTATCACTAGGGAAATATTCATTTGCCTCGAGTAAAATATCTCAGTGGATCTTTACTGAATTCAAAGTGCTGACTGATGCTGAGGTTCTAAAAATCCGAGTGATGCTGGCGATTCACCTGTACTTCTATCGCTAAGCGACTCCTTTTGAGCATATTCGTCTAGTGTGACAAGTTAGCGGAACGAATCTAACCAATAATCAGTGAGGAATCTTAAAAATAAGATTATTTATATTTACTTATATAATAATAGTAAAGAAATTTTTTTGTAAAATATTATTTTTATTGTTTATTTCCGTAATGTAGAAATTATATAGTTTGAAATAGGAAACGAAGAAGAATAATGGAAGAAATGCAAAAAAAAAAAAAAAAAAAATTTTCTGAAAAAAAAGAAAAATTGACCTGTTTTCTTTAATTGAATATATTTGTTGCAATTGATTATCTGTTTGAGAAATTGCATTTTTCAAATGTTTCTTTGCTGTCGAATATTCTTTTTTGTCGTTATTTTCAAGCATTCCACATGTATTATAATAAATAAATAAAAGCAACCAACAGAAAGCAATTAATGCTATAGCACATCCAATAAAAACCACTGAAATACTGATCATTCTTTATATGAATATTAATAAAAAACAAAAACAGATGATAATAGTATGGTGATAACGATATGATAAAGATACGCCGAGTGGATAAAATCGCACATGGTATCCATCTTCGCTCAAATAACACCTGCTTTAATAATATCACAGAGCATCCCCTTTGCTGGTTAGAACACGTTCTCCATCGCCCACCACATGAATTGACGCATATTTTGTTATTTGCTAAACCGTGTGATGGTTGGTATCAAAAGCGAGGTGGGCCAAACAAGACTTGGACTCATACGGTGAGAAAAGATTTTGAACGTATAGTTGGGCCAGCAATATATGGACTTAGACGATGGAAATAGGAATGGCTTCTATTGCTACTAGCAATGGCACCGGATCGGGCGGCTTCGGAGAAATATTTTAGCCAGTGAAGCCAGCTTAATCAATAATGAGGCTGTTAGAAGAAGAAGATGTGATAAAAATAAGAAATTAATACCTACAATCCACCACTGCGATTTTTTGTCATTTGAACTTGGCAATACAGCTAGAATGAGACAATAATATACATATATATTAGCAATAACAGTAAATATATAAATAATAATGAATATAATAATAATAAATAATAATAAATATTTAATAATAAATATTAAATATATTAATAATGATAATAATATTAATATATTAATAATAATAAATATTAAATACATATTATAGTGAAAATTAGCATTTTTCTCGATATATTTTTATGAATTAATGTACAATTCGAAGTAAATATGAGAAAAATAGCCATTTTTTTAAAATAAAATTTTTATTAATTTTTTGAATAAATTTTTCAATATAAATAATATTTTTTTACGAATTTATGGAGAATTTTTTAATTTTATTTAACTTTAATTTAACTTCTTTAAATTTAATTTTTTAATTTTTAATATTTTAATTTATTGTAGATTTTTAGATTAGCTAAGTTGGCTAGCTTGTCGGACTAGGCAAAGATGCCAGGCAATCTTTTCGCGATTGTAGTACAGATGAGTCGTTAGTATTAGATTTTTTGATAATAAGTTTTTATTTGTGCCTAGAATAGGAATTTCAGTATTAGCGCTTCGAAATGAGCAATAATCCACTGTGCTATACTCTCTTTTGTTCTCTGTGTTAGGCGACACTACTGCCTAACGAAATATCGGATTCTAGATTCAAATTCAGGCCTCGCTTCTCGCTGACAATTATTTTGTTAATGTTTTTCATCGACTTACCGCTTTGAATGTTTTTAGATATTAATATTATTATTATTATTATAGTTTAGACTATCAAAAAAATTAGCGAAAAATTTAAAAAATAGATTTTTTTTAAATAATATATAAATAAAAATAAATAAAATAATAATTAAAAATAGAATTTATAAATATAAATATTTATCTATAAATATATAATATATAATATATAAATATAAATAATAATTAATGAGACTATTCTAAATGAAACAAAAAAAATTAAAGTAATCCTTTTCTATTTTTTTGTTAATTAATTTTTGTTAATTTTTTTTATAATAATTAATTCTATTAAACAAAGAAATTGCAAATAATGTTTTTTTCATATTCGTAATGTCGCCATTGATTTCTTTTTTTTTTTAATTTTAATTAAATTTATTTTAAATGTTTATAAATTTTATGAAAGAATTTTAATTGTGTGTTAAAATTAGTTTCATTTAAATGAATAAATTTTTTAAAAAAAACAAAGAAAATACTTGTAATCGAACGAATTGGAATACTTAATTGAGCTGATATATGAGAAAAAGTTAATAATGATAAATCTTTAACAATAATCTGCAAATAATTTTATCGTATTTAAACCTTATCTTATTCAATCAAACAAGTATAATTAAAATAAATGCTCAGCTATATTTTTAATAAAATAATAGAGTTCCAATTTTCTTTTTAAGAGCCCTCACAATTATTGTTCAGAATCGCTTCGT